GCTTCTTCCTCTCCCTCCTCCTCCTCATCAGCAGCTTCTTCCTCCTCCTCCTCCTCCTCCTCCTCCTCATCAGCAGCAGCTTCTTCCTCTCCCTCCTCCTCCTCATCAGCGGCTTCTTCCTCCTCTCCTTCCTCCTCCTCTTCAGCAGCTTCTTCATCCTCTCCTTCTTCCTCCTCATCACCCCCGTCTGCCTCATCGTTTTCAGCTACCTCTTCCTCCGTGCCATCATCACCCTCAGCAGCCTGCCCCTCTTCAGCCACGATCTCCTCCGCGTGTCTGCTGTGGAGCTCTTCCTCTCCTTCGGCCACATCCTGGGTGCTCACCACACCAGAGAGCGGGGCTTTAGACGGGCACAGGAGCACCAGCAGAAGGCCCACCATCCAACCTCTCACAAGTCCCATCTTGGAAGTCTTCCACAGTCCTGAAGCTGTAAAGGATATTTACACCCTGTTGTTCAATTCTTCCACGCCAAAACCAACACGTTTGTTGTGTTTTCAGAGCTTGAAATCCATAAAACAGAGAAACCAGAGAAGTTAGAGAAAGGCTGCTGGCTGTTCGGGGATACTCTTCAGGTCGACGCTGTGGAGAGACAGTTAGAGGAGTGCCGGATTTACAGGAGGGAGAAAGCGGTGTGCCGGCCTTGTGCTGGGAACACAGAGGACTCGGTGAAAAGGCAGCGCGTGAGGTGTGGTTGTGCAGCTAAATGCACATGAGTGACAGAGGCACATGTCCAGGAAGAATGCTCCTGATGCCCTTAACACAGTGTATTCGTTGGGTGGGTGTGGACATGTGTTTGACTGGAGGTTCAGAACTGTTGGGGGGTGGGGTACAAGTAGTCAAAGAGCAAATGGGAACAAGAGGGAAGGGAAAGTTTAATTACAGAGGCCAAATTTTACAAATCAAGTATATTATTAATCACAAAATTGAAAGACTAAAAAACCCCTAAAATGTTGTCTTTGAAAACAAAACAGCTCATCAAGGGAAACAAATGTATATTAATGTATAAGTAACTAATCAACTTAACCCAAATCATTTAATCTAAGCTGTGCTGAGGAACACCAACTAAATCAACAACTGAAACTAATCACTGAACATTAAAGACAAATGTAAAAGCTTTAAAAAGAAATGCCTGGAGGCAGATGAGACACCATGTTACGATTTGTTTTTGATACACAGCATTCTTAAATGTGGCTTGTAAATTGATCAGGGGCTTGAAATCTTCACAGACAGAAGTCCAGAAGTGTAGCGTGTCAGAATGATGTATGGAGTAGATGTAAATAGAAGGGAATAGAGAGGACAGTGGTCTGAAAATGTGTAGACATTTCACAGTTTAGATTGAAATATATATTTTACAATCAGACGTTACATTTGAAACTTTGAGGCCAAATTTTTTCCACTTTATTTCACTTTCATTTAAATTGCCCACATGGACGACACATGTATACACATTTGCACATACAACCACCATGCAGTGGGGGGGGGGGGGGGAAGGCAGAAACTGATGACACTGCCTCTCTGTGTGCCACTGCTGCCTGCAATTGACAGGTGGCTCGGCTAACTATTTAGAGTGAAGGCTCCTTCAATAGCTTGCTCCACTATGTGACCTTCAATAGAACCCAGGCATACTGAAACTCGGCACCGTGCACCTTTTGCTTGACCAAAAACATATCTCTCAACACCATGTCCAAGGATCTTGCTCACCAATTTTGTATACAATTTAAATCTAATGCCGATACACTACTTTTATGTGCCGTTTTCTTATTTTAAATGAGTATCTGAAGAGATTCATATTTTGCCACAAAAATCTGCAGCATTTTATAAGAAGGGGTCCCTGAAACTAGTGCAATGGACATTCAATACATTGTATGCACTTTTTTTTAGGATAGCTGGAAGACACACATCACAATGATCTAGAAAACATTTTTGTAGCAAGTGTTATAGCTTAGCTAAGCATAAAGACTGAATTCAGCAGGAAATAGCTTGCCTGGCGCATTCTAAAAAGTAATAAAACCCCGCTAAAAGCATGTGCAGCTCCATCAGTCAAAAGTAACACATACAATTAGCTAAAAATAGCAGGCAAGTCAACAGTCCCCTAGTACATGCCAAATCCTTCTTTTCATGTAGTCTATCTAAACAAGAAATAATACAACAAATAAGCACCATCAACTATACAAAGATATTACAACAAGTATTTGATAACCAAGCTGGTATGGTTGCCAGACAACATGATTTGTAGATTGATCTGTTCATTTGCTAAACCGTTTCTTCCCAGTGGGGTCAGCGGGGCTGCTGGAGCCTATCCCAGCTGGCACGGAGAGATGGACTGACAGGTCACCAGTCCATCACAGGGCCACACAGAGACAGACAACCACACACACTCACATCCATGGGCAATTCAAATTAATAAATTAACCCAACATGCACATTTTTGGGGAGGAAACCTGAGAACCTGAAGAGAACCCACACACACATGGGGAGAACATGCAAACCCCAACAGAAAGACCCCTGTTTCAGGGGATTTGAACCAGGAGTCCTCTTACTAAAAATACAAGACAGAGGATTGAAATAAGACACTCTGCACAGGACAGTTTTTTCTACTAACTTTAATTTAAAAAAAAAATTCTTAACAGGGTTCATTCATTCTCATATGTATAAAATGTATTGATAAAAACTAATATTCAACACCAATAAATGATAGTAGTATAAGTAACCTTTTCCTAGTGTTAGAGAAAAAATAAAGCAAAACTGTGATGCCTTCCCACCACGTAAAAAACATGAAGTGTCTATATGGTATAATAAAACTATTTTTTTTAGACTAAAAACATCTGGGCATTGGCAAATAAATGGCAATAAACATATATAATTTCATCATAACATTTCAGTAGCCTTGGCATTTAAATAAAACTGCATTTATTCAATACTATCAGAAGCTGTAACATCTTTAACCTTTCTTACTGATATTGACCTATAAGACCAGTAACCTTGGAGGCAAGCCCAGAAATAATCCATGCTGTAAACCAGCTTGACCTGTTGGTGATGCATGCTCCTTAAGCAGAAAGTACGACTATGTCTCCACCAAATCCAGTTCAACTCACTGAAGAGGTAAAGGCATCTGTGTGGAACAATGCAACAGGGAAGATGAATGAGTTATACGTAATAACAACATCACTGTAGGCAAACATCCCTCTATTGTACATCAAACTAGCCAAACAGGCTTAGCTGCAAAAGCCTCTAGCATTTCAGCTTGCAAAGGTTTTTTTCTGACACAGCTTTGTTGCATTTTGGAACCGATGTAGATTACCTCTTACTGTAGGTGGCGGACGAGAAGGTTTAAATGAGCTGCCTTGTGCCAAAGTCTCTACAATCCAGCTGAGAGCATTGGAGCAATACTCCATCTAAGCGAAAGGGGAAGAGCAAAGAGGTTATTGGGAAGCAGTAACTCCAAAAAAAATAAATAAATAAATAGCTTGTTTCTTTTTATTACTTTAATTTAAAAGGATTATTTGCAGAGTAAGTGCATTTGGTCCCACATGAGCCCAACTAGTGACATCAGCCGGGGTGCTGGTTACCATAGGTTATGAAAAAAAACGTCATCTGTCACTTTTCAGTATTACTTTATGCTTGGCATTTGTAATTCTGTCATCTGTGTCGACTCCCTAAAATTAAATCTACCAACGAGAGTTCTGTTTTCTCTTCACTAGGTTAAAGAAAGCACAGTCATCAAACCTTTGACAGAGGTCCAAGCAGCATTCACATGAAAGCCTGGATTTAGAGTTTCCCTCTGAAACAAGCATTGTAACGATTCACCTCACATGTCGAAGCTGGCTGAGATCTATTCATTCGGATCTAATAGAATGCTTCAGTATTCTGGTAGTGTAATGCTGTGCAGTATTAAGACTGGAAATCAGGATGAAACAGCTAGTCTGGTTTGTGACTACAAATTCCTTCAGCATGGACTCTAGAAAGATACTGGCAAGGAAATGGTCCTGCTTAAACCCCAATCATCCACCACGTGTTCCATCTTCCATCCCCTTCAACCTCATTGTGGTAGATTGTCTGCTTTAAGAGAAGTAAAAAAATAAATGAAGTCTAGTGTTTACCTCATTCTCTAATGCCCTTAATCTGTGGTCAAAGTCTCTGCTTTCGGTCAGATGTTTCAAAACACCATCCACCCTGTCAAGAAACAAAAACAAAAAAATTCCCTCATTGTGATGTCAATGAATCAAGAATTTCCATGTGGGAGCGGGACAGTGTGCTCACTTGACACTCATCCGTTTGAGTCTCTCTGAGTCACTGCTTTTCTGGATTTTGTTCTGAGCTGTCATGAAGTCTTCTTTTTGAATGGTTTCCCAAGTTGTTAATCTGTTTGCGGCTTTCCCTCTCAACTGGAGCACTAGTAGAGAAGTAAAAAATTCCATCAGTCAGAGCATTTGTTGAACAAAGCTGAGACAACAAAAGCTGGACAGAAGCCAGTGCTTTCAGGGAGAAAGGATTCTGGATGCTTATTACTCCAACCCGCTGGTTGGAAGAGCCCTAAAAGGTATCAGATGGTGATCAAATGTGCAAAAATAGAAATGTTATCCTCATTTGTACTTATTCCATAACCCCGCAGATGGCCGCAGCTCCTTTTATAAAACAGCCAGGACCCAAACATACCAGGTTAAAATGGGCTGGATAAAATATCTTGAAGAAACACAAGCTACAGCTTGCTGTTTGTCTCTTTTTAGCTGCATTTGCATTGAGTAATCTTCTTACAGAATCTACAAATGAAAAAGTTAAGACACACCAGGATCTGTGTGAGAGCCTTTAGCTGAACAACTGTATTTGGAGTGTAGCTTACTTTGTCTCTGAACATTTGATTCCATGGAAAACATTTATAAGTTGATCTGATATCAGGCGATTTAATTACACAATTTATGCAACCAAATCAGGTAAATATGGAGTGAGAAGTCCAATTACTGACCAAAGTGGTGGATCTTGATAGAAGGCACTTTGCGGATGTTTCTCTTGATGAAGAGGTTGATGTGTGAGAGGACAATAAAAGGAGGAGCCAGGGATGGGCGGGAATGGTACTGGACAATCAGGTTGTAGCGCTGGAACTTCCAGTAGATGTCACTGTTTGCCTGAACTTCATTGAAAGTGTAGCTGTGAGGATGCAAGCAGGGAAAGGGGAATTCTCAACAAGCACGAGTCATTTATTCAGCCCAGTGAGTCACATTGATCAGACGGAGCTAGAGGGATAAACACTATTATCCTTGTTTACCTGAACATGGCAATGAGAAGGTTGATGAGCAGAATGTTGGTGACCAGCAGATAAACAACCAGCAGGACTACCACAAGCCAGTTACTGTAAAGAGTTCTGCATGGCTCTGCACCAGCGTCGATCAATGTCACATTATTTGTGCAGTCCATATCCCACTGCTTCCCAACTGGAAAAAGAAAAGACAATGGAATGGATGCAAGATGATAAGTGTTAACAACAGTGACCTTTAGTTAGAATTTCACAAGAAATCAAAGCAGCAAAGAATAACGCTCATACCATCAACCTCCTCCACAGGAATCTGTCCAAAGATGTGCAAGTAAGGCCTGTAGAAAACTCTGCGAAAGATGCGATCCAAGCTAGGGTCGTAGGAATAAAGTAAAGCCTGATTGGCTACACCGTATGCCATGAGCCAAACGCCGAGGAAGAAGAGGAAGAAGAAAACGTCCTTCATCTGAATAAGGAAAACAATCATTTTGCCTTTACTTTATATGATCAGCATCAACCCCCTAACAGCCCAATGTCAGTAAACCAAATCGTTTCTCACCATCTTGCCTACAATGATGATTTTTGGTCCCAGCTGTTTGTGAATGGCGAAAATGTGAATGAGGCGAAGGGCGAAGACCATGTAGTCAACACACAGCACTTCCCGGCCAAATCCATACGACCACTTGAACATCCTTAAACACATTTTGAATAATTTGGCTGAATTTTTTTTACGACATGGGTGTCTCCAAACCTTTTTTAGAAGATGCTAAAATGTCATTTAAACCATAGTCACACAGACGTTATAGCAAACACTATACAAGCTGTTCAAATTTAAAAGAGAAACTCTGTACCAGTCTCTCAAAATGGAAGTTTTAACCATCAAAACTAATTTGCCAACTTAAGTGGAGCCAAGTCCATGACTATACAATACCCCTAAAGATATCTGAAGGGATACCTGCAGACCAGTCCTATGATGAAGAGTGTTATGGCAGTGAGGTCACATTTATTCCACACATCCTGACTGTAGACCCTGAGGCTTTGACGCCAAGTCATCGACCCTAAAAAGAAGATCTTTGGGAAAAAAAAAAAAAAAAGGATCAACCTTATGGATGCTAAAAGCAAGAGATGGAGTGACAAGCAAAAGAAATGCATCTTTAGAGCAGTGGTCATTCTTCCACACATGGGTGGATCACCTTCACAGCGTCTAATCCACGACCATAACGTACTTTTATTGAACTGTGGATATCTGCTTTTTGAGAGCATAAATGACAGAACAATTCGTGAGGTGAGATCTCTCCACACTCACCTCTCTGATCTCCTCACACACGATGGTGAACACCCAAAAATACAGCACGTACTCGGTGATGGCCGGTCCAGCAGGTGGAGGCGGCTTAAAGTCCACCAAAAGCACGTAGGCAAAAAGCAAGAGAAAGAGGAAGTACATCAGGACGTTTCCCAAAAAAGAGGTGACGGGGGCGAACCAGAACTGGCGCCAGCGTGACACGATGAACGGTCGTTTGGGCGGTCTGTGTGGCTGGGGCCTCCCTGGGTGGAAGGAGCAGAACACAAATTAACTACTGATGATCACAGCAGGCAGACACTGAAATCAATCACTTCAGCTGTCAGACTGTTTTCCTCCCTCTCTTTGGCGCCGACAACCACTGGACCTACCTCTGATGGTGCCGATCCGGGGGGTGGTTACTTCTTGTGTTTCAGCCTCACTGTTGCAACAAGAGACGAGTGAATCAGCACAATCAAATACCAACCAGTGTGTCCCATTCAAGACTGCTCCTTTACACCCCTTTTTCTTTTTCCCTTTGTTTAAAACTCTGTGTTACACTAAAGAACATTGGATCGTCTGATAAAAACCTGAAAAAAACACGAGGATAAATTACAGGTGCTTGATGTCAGAGAAAGAGAAGACGGTGGCCCCATAGAGGTTGTCAGCGTCCCGTCCAGGATAGTCCTCATTAGGCTTCCCCTCATCCTCTTCTTGATTGTCTTCCTGCTCCCTGGAAAGAGGTGTACACGAGGTAAAAAAATCTATATTTTAATATCCATACATTTTCTGAACCACTTATTCCTAAAGGGGATCACAGGGGGACTGGAGCCTATCCCAGTATTTAATGGGTGAGAGGTGGGGTACACCCTGGACGGTCCGCCATTCCATCACAGGGCCAAACAAAGACACACAAGGACAAACAACCACACACCCTCACACTCACTCCTAAGGACAATTTAGAATGTCTGATCAACCTAACATGCAGGTTTTTGGATGGTGGGAGGGTTAGGAGAACCCGGAGAGAACCCAAAGACACAGGGAGAACATGCAAACCAATTTAATTTCATTCTTACCTGAAGGAGATGAGATTGGTGTAGCAGAGGAGGGGGCAGAAGAAAGTCAGCAGGAGCTTCCACACCTCCGTGTTCCTCTTCATGTCACCCCACCAGATTTGAGACAGCAGAGACTGAAAGGGACATTTGACCAGTTACACTAACTGTAGTTCACTTCCATGAGAGGAAGGAGGGCTGTGTTATTAATCTCAAGACCAAAACATATTAAATATTTTTTTTCAGGAATTTATTAGTTGAGTTTTAGATGAGCGTATCTAAGGGATATTACACTGTGTGAACATTGATTTGTGGAATTTCAGAATAAAAGAAAGGTCCAAATTAAAAGGAAATCTAAAAGAACTCAGACACCATACAATGACAAGCTTGATTAGTTTAAAGCCATTTCTTCCACTTCTTTTGCAGATAAGAAAGGCAGTTAAAGCAATGGTTAATTTAATGTTAAAATCTCCCCGTTTGACAAACAGGGGTATCTACAAATTTGAAAATGAAGAGATGGTTAATTTGATGGTTGATTTTATAACATATTGTGGCAGTTTTTGGCATCAATCAAACTCTGACTGAAAAATCTTAGGAGTGAGAAAAAATCTCCAAAATATGAGCATACAAGTTTACAGATGCAGGTCTTCTGCTCAGAAGGTCTTGCATCAACACCTGTTTAGGTAGACTTAAATAATAAATAAGTAAATATGTAATAAATAAATAAACAAATAGGTAAAGAATGACAAACCTGTACTCCATCGTGGCTGAAGAAGAGTCGCGCATCCGCACCCATGCCCATCTGTAAGCAGGTGGTGCCGCCCCAAACAGGAGATTTTCTGATGAGCAGTGTGAAGGAACGGCTCTCATCGCTGCGATAGCAAGAGCTGAAGACATCTGGCATAGAACAAAGGAGACACAAAGCATGTGGAGTGGAGTTTTTTGGTTGGGTGGTTTCATGTAAAAAAATAAGTGATACTCTTTAGTAAGAATTGATGTTAATGTCCAGCAAATCCGACCAAGCCACTGCGAGTCATGGAAAAGATGTATTTCATGTGGCGTTTATGTTGACGAAAACAAACTTCAAAACATACAAAATCCTATTTGCACTGGCAGGGCCCTTTCCAAAATGTTCATATTCAAATAAAAAAAACAGCAAAGAACTTCTCAAGCAACTATTAAACAGAATATTGCTTTTTTGTTTGTTTGTTTTTTGCTTCACTGAGCTTGATCCAACCAGTGGCAGGCAGATGGGTGCATGGCCTCACCATGTGCCAGGTTCTCAAACCTCTGCGCCAGCTCCTTCATGGAGAGCTTGGTCTCAGTCTCAACCTCCAGCTTGGACAGCTCTCTCAGCACCTTACAGCCACTTAGAGCACTCAGCACCGGCTCGCCAGTCTAAAGAGACGACAAAAGTAAAAAAAAAACCCCAACAACATAATACTTTAATAGAAGAAAGAATAAAATACAGTTAAGAGTTAATACAGTTACAGATAGAGCTGTCAAGCAGTTCGATACTTTTACCCCCATACTGTGCCAGAATAAAAGGAATTGTGAGGCACTTTCACTTCAAAAGAGCATTTTCTATTTCCATGCTTTTTTACTGAGTTTGATGAAACATTACAAGCCATTTGTCACTCTTCTCCAATTTTTTTGTAATCTCTACATAAAAATGTAACATACAATATTAACAACTACATTTTTCAAATATCTAAATAAATATGCAAAAATCCGTTCTGTTCTTATTTTTTTTCTTTTTTGCTTTGATTTCACATAAGATATACAGTATATATTATATTTAACACACTGGCTCTCCCTGTCCTATACTGCTCCTTCTTACTGTGAAGCATTATATTAGATTTCAATCTTGCAATGTTTATTTGTTCAGTCCGTTATATTGGGAGATTTTGGAAAGACTGCATTTTTTTCAACCAACTGATTAGGGTTAAACCTGCTCCTCAAGGTTTGCTTTATGTCTAAAAACTTTTACCATCTCCCAGAAGAAAGTGGCCATCTCACTCCGATTCTGCAGGACAGCCCAGATGAAGAGTGAAGCCCAGGGGAAGAGGCATCGCATCTGTCTATACTGACAATCTCCACGCAGCATCTTGCTGACACGCTGGAAGGATTAAAAGAAAAAAAAGAAGTGGGCTTCTGATTGCCCTCAAGATATAAAAGTTTGGTCAATGTCTGCTTGCTGTCTAAAATGAAAAATTACCCTTAGAGCTCTCCTTTTGGATGATATTTTTTCTAAGCCCAGAACTTCATAATAAAATGGCTGACAAACATCACCCAGTAGGAGTTCCAGGATCCCTGAGACCTAAAGAAAAAGTGGGAATCATAAAATGCTGTGTTTCATTATCAGTGTTACAACATTCATCTTTCAAGTTATTCAGTTAATCAGGTCAAAATCCCTTCCATCCGAAGAGTCACCTCAAAAAGGCTGATCTCCACCACTGGTTTGCTCGAAGTGTTCTCTGCTATCAATTTGGTGGGTGAATCTGGTGCGATGGATGAGGTATTGGGAAAGGCTGTATTTCCCAGACGCAGCCCTAAGCGGCGCTGAAGCAGCTGGTATAAGAGCGTTCCCTCTGCCACCGATTGGTAGAGGCTCTCCAGCCTGCCATACGTCAAGTAGTCCAGGATGTTCAAGCCATTCTCGGTGAAAAGTCGCACAAACTGGGGCTTGTCATTAATCAGGGCGTCCGTCATGGAGTCCTCCAAATCATCATACTATATAATTAGATAAAGGTATGGGGGGTTAATACCTATGGACACTCTGAAGTAATAACATCTCTCGGTGTGTTTTTCTACTTACCCTCCACTGGATGTCTCCATTAAAGAGTTCACTCTTGGCAATGTCGACCCTGTTCCATGTAACGGCTAACTTGAGCTCTTCATTATACGGACTAGCATCAACTGAAGCGCGGTGCTTACTCGCTGCAAAACAAAGACAAACTTCAAAAGATGAAAACTCCAGCTGTCTTGTCACTTAAAACATCTGAAGAACTCAGACTAGTTCTATGCACCTCCCACCAATGCTTTAAGTAGCACTGTGTCAAAGTCATTTGGACCCTCCTGCTCTCCATGATAGACCGTAATCAAATCTCTGTTCTGGTAGATGCTCAGAGCCTGCAGACATGGAGCACAAAGACAGATAGCGTGGAAAAATGTGAAAAGTTGAAAGTGCGAGCAAAAAGCACCGTTTATACTGAACACTTTCCAGACAATGAAGTCAGATGCTCTGTGTTGGTACATTTTTGCATAAATGTAAACAGTAATAGTTCATATTTGCAAGCATTTATGTAAATACAAAGGTTACACTTCAATTAGTGGGCTGGTTGTTCAGGCTTTCCTTTTGATACTTTAGGAATCATTCCCTAACTTTCACTGTTTAGTGGGTATTATGTGCAGTTTCCCCCCTTAAAAAGCACAGTTTGTTCTACAGCTTTTTTGTGACAATGTATCGTTTTAACCGCTAACATTGTCACTCAGGAGGGTAGGGAAAGCACTTGGAGCTTGATGGTCCTCCGTTTATTTTAGTATGCTTTGAGTCTGATAAAAGACATGAACATAACTAAACTTTTGTTTAACCATTTTTAAATGTAAAACTAATGGGGTAAAGGATTAAGGTAATTATTTGAAAATATCAAAACTAACTCCATGCATTTGTCACATACTGACATTTTGCTGAGCAAAAAGCATCCAAAAAATGATTTAGCTGTGACGTCAACAGACAGGTGTTTTTTATAGAAAGAGCCATCTCTTTGTGATTGTTTACAATTAGGTCAAAGGTAAATACAGTCAGACTATAGAAAATCTTTGAGAAACGTGCATCAACCTACTGTATATAATCTTAAATTATGATCAGCGTAATCAGCTATTGTCAGCCCTCCTTTCTTCTTGTTGAAAACATCCCCAACCCAGCAAAACACACACATACACCCATCCACATACTGTGAGCGAGTACATTATGGTGCAACATGAAAATAACAGAGTGCCCCAGATTCCTGAGCGGAGGCTCAAACAGGAAGTAGTCAGAAGCCAAATGACCTGCTGTAAACAGATAACATAACATCCTGCGTGACGGGGTAAAAGTTAGAGTATCGTTCAAAGGGGAAACCAAAAGTTAAATGATAGCATGAATTTCTTCTTTTTTGGGGGGGGGGAAATGTAGAAGCTATGAAACAAATTATTGTTCTGTTTAATATGTAAAAAAAAAATAAAAAAATAAAAAATACTTGCCACTGATCGAAGTACTCACCTGTTCTACAAGTTTGTCTGTCACAGCTTCTGTTGGAAAGTACTTCCGAACCCGTTCTGCTACTTTTTCTTTAAGATCCACACTGGGTGTGACCTCGCCGTCGCCCTCACCGGAGGACTGGACGCCTGGGGCTGAAGACAGATTCTCCAAGATGTCACTCAGGAAATCCGCCATGCCCCCAGAGCCAGCCAGCACCAGCCAGGGCATGGAGCTCTTTAGTGAAAGGTCCACTCTCTGGCAGATATCAGATTAACAATAATTCCAGTGTCATGGAAAAAAATAATGGAAATTGTTCTCACAAAATCTCACATAAGGGTCTGATAAGCAACATAAGCACTACCTCCAGCATGCTGGCTTCGCCTGATATCAGCATACACAGGACAGGGATGTCAATACTGCCACTACCTGGGCACAAAGAACAAACAAAGGTTTTTCTTTTATCATTATTACTTTATACTCACACGTCGGGACAAATGAGAAAATGAAAACAAAAATAGAGAAAAAGAACAGAGAAACAGAAAAAACACACTATGCATGCTTTTTATTCTTTTCTCCTCAAAATATTCTGCATGTTTTCACATGTTGGGGAGCCGTGTCTGAAATTCTTGTCATGGCATGCAATGGCTTCTATCCAGAGAATACCAGAGTTTCAGTTTATTGACACAAGCATTGATAATGGATCACCACCAGAGGGCCAACAAGCTTGAATCTGGGGTTGAACGTACACTGAGCCTCTTAGACTTGCGTATGTTTTCTTTCCTTGTTGCTACATTTACACAAAGACAAAGATCCTAGATGTTCTCCTCACCCCATATCCCTGTGCGTTGGTGGGATATGTAGTCCTCCAGTTTGGCTCTGAAACCCGTCTCTCCTCCCCTGCGGCCCACACTCCCGTCGTCCACCAACAGGAAGGCCTGGTAGTTGTTGTCCAGGCAGCAGGAGTCCCGGGATGTGTTCTGGACGTAGTACTTCGCAGGAAAGCTGCCCTGCAAAAGGAGGCAACCGAGGACCATTGTTCCAGGTTTAAGCACTTATTATGTTCTGCAGTCAGGACTTTACACTTGCCAGATGAATAACATTCATAATGACCTAATTTTGTGTCGATTTCACTGAAAAGCTTTAACGGAGAACACTTTAAATCAACATACTGAAAAAAACAAGAAGTTTATTACTGTAGTTGGTGTGGATGACACCAATTGGGTGTATGCTTTCCTTTTTTTTTCCTCTCCCGACTGGTTTTCGAATGTTCAATCTGTCTTTATATTAAAATAAACTAGTATCCCCAACGCAAATATTATAAAGCTGTTATCCTAAACTGAGAACTGGGAATGCTGTTAAACTGAATTTTCCATTCGGGATGAATTCAGTAATTTGAACTGATCCTATTCCTTTAATCAACACATCTGATTAAATTCAATGAAAGATTAGAAATCTTATGTATAAATGTAACCTTTTGAACCTATCCATTTAATATAAATTGGATGTGTCTGAGCAAGGAAACATCTAAAACCTGCAGGACGGCACGTCTCTAGAGGACTGGAGTTTAAGATCGCTGCAAATGTAGAAGTAAAGATCCACAAAACTATTCTTATTTAAAGGAGACTCCTATGGGCATACTTTGGCATAATACAAGTGAGATAAAGTGATGTGTGTTAAAAGTGTATTTATATTAAAAAAAGAGTCCTTGTCCAACCTGAGGGTTGACCAGCTGCTCCTTGTTGTGAACGAGACCCCACGGAGCTATGCCCAGCGCCACCACCTTGTTGAGGCTGACCGACGAGGCGGCAGTGGCGTGATCCCTCACCGCCTCCCCCACACACCTGCCCACGCCTTCACGCAGGCCTGCTGTCAGGATCCACGCACCTACGTGGAAAGATTGAAAAACGTTTGGGAGAAGAACACATTAAGTTTTGAGTTGATTTATTCCATGCATACTGCTTCAGTTGTTACTTATTCATGCCAGGAATTTAAAATAATATAAAACCAGGTGTGTGTTTTTTTTTCTTTTGGGGGGGGGGGGGGGCAAGTAACCTCCAAGTTACTTGCCAGATATGTTGTCTGTGTACAACTTTGAATCAAAAGGCCTTATATTTTACACAAATCTTTCCAATCTTTTTTTTTTGCAGTGTAGCTATTGGAAAAGAAACACATGACTAACTAATCTGTAAAAAGTAATAGTTTATCTTTAAAGTTGAAAAGTGTTTCATGGTCTTCCAACATTTATTGATGGAAACTGATGGAAAAAGAGATTAATAACAACGCATGACAAAAAACAAGGTTGAGTCATAGTGCAGGTTTTGAATGTGTTAAGGATGTTGTTTTAAGGTGTGACAGACACTTGTAGTACCTTATCAGCCCATAAGCTGGATGTATGCTCTCTTAACCCTTCCGTGTTTTAGCATGTGAACCTGTGCGTTTTCATTTGTTTTGAGAGAACAGTCAGTGACCTTAGATAACAGGGGACCAATATCGCTCTGTGCCACCTGCACTTGGCAAAGAAATGGCCAGGAAATGGCCATTGTAGTACCAAACTGGAGTCAGACCCCTGGGGAGTCGTGCACTGTAATGGGTCTACATTTCACAACAGTTGGATTCTCTCAGCTATGACTGCCCTGGCCTAAGAGTTGTGCCTTCCAAGGAATAGATTTAAAAGGTAGGCAATTCATTGGTTAGTCTTATGAAACCCTTCACTTTTTTTTTTTAGAAAGGAGACATAAAAAGGCAGAGACAAAACAACCACAATTAAGTAATATTTGTCGATCAGGAGGAAAAGACAGAATCAGAATTTAGATATCTAAGCAAAGCATCTCATCTGATGAGTTCAGAAACTCATGAAAACAAGCCACATGCCTTTTTGAGCATATAGCTGCCAAGCGTACCAGCAAAGACCCAGCACTGCAATAAAAATCAGAGGAGGTTATTACCTCACAGCTGCAATCTGAGTTTCTTTACCTGTGCTTTGAGAAGCTTTCACCAGACCCTGTCTGAGGACCTCTCGAACCCAGGTCTTCACCTTTGCTCTGCCTTCTCCACCCACAACAGATATAACCAGGTTGGGCGCAGGGAGCCCCCAGTGGGTTGTCATCAAGGTGTAAACCATGGACGGCAGGGTGTCCCATGACAGCCGCAGGAACTGAAGTACACATTAGAGACATGATTGTATTTGGTTGGCTAAAAAGGCAAAAATACTGTCTGCCTGATTTATCTCATTTTAAAAAATAAACATCTGAGCATGTTAGGGGCAGACTTGGATATTCTGAAGTAAAGCAGCCTCTCAGTATAAGGCACAAGCCCCTAATCAGTGCTTGGCCTTTGTTTACTCAGGTGCAGCAGGAGGGCAAAGGTTGGGAAAATCAGAAGTACTGACTTCAACAGCCAGCTCATTTTCATCTATTCTGACCACTTTCACAGGCATTTCTACAGACTTGATCATACTCTTTAAGGCAACAAAGAAAGTAACGCTGAACGACCCCTTTAAAAAACAAAAACATTTCTATGGCTAAAAAGAGAGGCACTCACGTAGCTGTGTCTCTTGCTCGCTCCTGCGAACTGCAGCTCTCCAAAGGCATCAGTGGGGTATTCAGACGAGTGCTGGGCGCTGTCCCAGTGGTTGACGATGGCTGTGCTGAAGTAGTCCCCCAGAGCCACAGAGGCGTGGGCATCTCTCGCACCTCCACACTGACATAGCCCGCCATTACTGGCAGAGGTGCAAAAACAACATACGGGAGCAGCTGATCGTCGTCTGACCACCACACAAACAGAGTATCTTACAGCAGACTTCTCAGTACCTGAACGAGTCTTCCACAAAGGTGGTGCATACTCTTTTCTTGATGATTTTGGGAATCCAACTCTGAAAAAAAAAATATATATATATTTTTTTAAATACAGCAAATTATTCCATAGGCTGTTGGAACTTTAAATCCAGTCTTACCCTGCTATGCATGTTTTTAAAGGGGTGAAGAAAATGCAGTTAAGATGACAAATGTTGACTCCGGCTCTGAAAAATAGCTGGTGATGAGCTGGTGAGGTTTGCCACCTAAACACCTGACTGTGACTTCTGACGAGGTGCTGCAGTTTCAGCTCACGTTTCTCAGTATGTGAATATTTACAGTCGACATAAAACTACCTACATGACCGCCACGCGTCTGGGCCCCCGTCCTCTTTGAAATTTAATAAGACAGGAAAATCATTTCTTCTTATCGATGATATGCTTTACAGTGTGGCCTAATCAATCATTAAAAAATTACTTGAATGGTGAGTCATCTTAAGAGACCAAATTATTGACAAGCAGGAAATGTATGTCTACCATTTTCTGGTTATATTTTCAACATTCCAAGATATGATAAAAAATATTTTTTAAAACATTTCAATAAGAGAAGAAAGTGAACCTGTATACAATGAAATCAAATGTCTTTGTCTTTTGTTAATTTTCATATGATCAAGGCTATACGCTGAATGCGTTTCGTATCTCAAATTAGGTCAATCCTCCAAGGTTTGCAGTCTTATAAATGTCAATATGACTGAAATTCATAACCCATTCATGATAAAGCTTTTACTTAATCCAATTAACACGAGACACTAAAGCTATACCTTGTAAATCAGTGTTGTCCTCGCAGGAAACAAATTAAGAATAAAAGCATCAGAAACTGCAATTTACATGTTTTGGAAAACTTTACACAATTGGTTTTATTATGTCTATTTTTTTAAAGAATTTAAATGTAAGATTTTACTCTTGTAATAGCCTACAGCTACATCAAAAGTACTTTATTTTTACTCCTGTCAAGTAGAACAACATTGAATATATACAGAATATAGACTATTCTGAATTAAATAAACTTTTAAACTGACATACAAAATCAACTGTATTAATATTTCATGAGTTTATCAACGATTGCATAGTTGCTTCTCTTGTTTTTATAACATTTGCCAACAAGAGATCTTTAACAAAAGGTGAAATATCCAGGCTTTTTTTTTCATCATCTTTATCAGGCTGATCGCAAAAGTATGTACCGTAATGCTCCAAGTATGGCCGCAAAATACAATAAGGAGCGCTGGCTCGGCCACAGTTGACAACAGACATAACAGGATGGCCATTGCTCCATTAAGTTTACCCTCAAGTTGACCCAAAGCCCGGCGTTTAAGAAGTTGAGACACTCAGACCACGAAGCTGCCCGAATTACATCTTATATTAATGTTGCATCTTAAACCCTGGGCAGAACGCTTCCTTTCCGGCTTAAACAGCCGACATATAGTTAGCTTGACTTTCACCGGCTGCTGTTCTTGAAGAAGTCGCCCCAAAAAAAGTAGCTGAGCCCGACCACATGATGCGTTTACGTACACTTCTGTTTCACAAAGCGTCTTGGGTCCCCAAGGACAGACGCCAGCTGTAGCCCCTGTTATTATTACAGACAACACAGCGCACAGTGTGATGTCGACAGCAAATGTTTGTTGACTTTCGCCCGCAGGAGCGGGGAACGACTCAGTGTTTTCAAGACGACTTCCACTTTTTTTTGTGCTTTCAAATGAACAGTCTTAAAAATACTCGCAAACTTCACGCCGCCATTCGTTTTTAGCAACGCAAACACAACCCACCTGATCCTTCTCAGATTTCTTATCTGTGCCGCTTCCTGCTTCTCCTGCTGTGTCTTTCATTTTTGCCTTCTCTGTCGCTGTTAGTGACACAGTTAGGAGGAAAACTTTCGGGGTTTACATTTCTTTCTGACCATGTTCCATTCAGTGCTGTCACTCGTCAAAAACCAGTCCGGAGCGCATATCTGCAGACACGGAAAAGGGGGGGTGGACAAAAAGTACGAGCCACCCGGACACGCCACACAGGTGAGGGTGTGGTCCCACAGCAGGGAATTTAGTTCTAAATCCTTCAAACTGTCGAGCGGGAGGAGTCGATGATAACCACTAAAATGTGTCTGATGTATGACCACATTCCACCACTCACACCCCCCCATGGTGGACCGCGGGATGTCAGGTCGAAGTAATTAAAGTGTCAAAATTCGCCACGCGCCTTGAAACTCATTTAGCAAACAGAACACCTTCCTGGTTGTGAAACCTAAAAAGATAGAGTGGTCGCGACCCTGATTTCCAGAAGAACAAGTGTGTCTCATTCTGGTATCTGCTCCCATCAAAGCCAATGACAGTCAGTGTTTTGGCGGTAAATGCAGAATGTACTCTGAAGACCGGAAAAGCCCTATCCTAAAAATAAATTACAAATCAGCCAGCTGTAGAACTTCGAATTCCCTTTAAAAGGCACCAAAGATGAGGACAACAGCAGTCTGTAGGCGTCCTGAGCAGTTATCCAGGTGTGAATGAACTTACTCCACAAAGCTGTTCATATTAAATATTTATTGTGCAACACATTTAAATAGGATATATTTATCATTTAAAAACAGAAATATTACACATCATCATCATCATTATCCACAATCTATGTGGCTAATGATCTTTAAGCAAGTACCAGTTAAGTAGAACTAATAGCCTATATAATAGCCTATATATATATATATATATACACTTTGTAGATAAATGAAGGCACTTGCACAGTCCTTTTGGTGCCATAGTTACTTCCAGGACCTATCTGCCAAATCCTTGTGGGTCACTGGCCTTCTTTGACTGCTCTTTCCCACTTGTTTTGCTGATGTGGTATAAAGTGTTGGCTAGGTTGTGAAGCTGGCACGTCCCGAGCTGGCATCCACGCTGAAGTGCGCGCCGTGTCCGTGGCTTCTCTGCCATGCTGTTGTTGATATAAAATACAAACAACAGATGAGTCCAACATGAAAAAAAAATAATTCTGTTTATCAAAGAAAGACAGAGTAAGGCCATTTCATGTCAGCTGCTGATGCCAAATAGAGTTTTCCCCTAAAAGTCTAACTACATCAAATGACTTTATCATTTCCCCTTTCCAAGAGGGTATACAATGTCATTTTTGCCATAAAAGTTAACCAGCGCCAACTCAGCATTAACAGTCCGCCCTAAAGTATGTGACCTGTAAACAATGAGGGCTTTCCAGTTTACAGGATGTTTGTCATTATGTACCTGTCTTTCAGAGCGTGTGGTTCAAGTTGTTTGTCCGCTGAATGAAACGGGACAATCTTCACCAGCGGGGCATGCGTCTCCTGCCCATTATCGGACCCTCTCGCGCCCACGGCCTGAGCAGCTGCCCCTGAGAGGAGGACCTCTGCTTCAGAGCTGCAGGCACAACAGAACACAGTTATGATGGGGTAACACAGCCGCCTGTCTTCTGTCTGGTTTTACAAGTTGTTAGATGTGAGCTTTAACTGTTTTGATGGATCACTTGGCAAGTGGGGTGTTTCGTGTATTTCCCTTCAGCTCCTCTCGGTGTGGTTTTATTTTCACTCACCTCTGTGTAAGTCTCAGCGGGGTGGCAGCAGTCAAAGGCACAATCAGCAGCAGAAGAAAAGTTCTCTCCATACCGCATTCACCTATGAGGAGAACAAATGGATCCGCAATTACCCCACTTATTTCTTATATCCAAAACATTGAGCAGATAAAAACTGCATGTTAAACTAACGGTAACTATAAAATGCTCTTACCTCCAGGAAAATGTTAAATCTGCTGTTGGGGAACCTGTTCTGGGCCTCTTGTGGATTGTTAGATGTCCAAGTCTGTCATCTGTGTCCTCCTCTGGTCCTTTATAGTGACATGGCATGGTCGAGGGGGTGTGTCTCTGATATAAGGAGTTGGAGCTGATGAGATCATCTCCCACACTTATAATGAATCAGTTCTGTTGGCAGTTTTATCCTCCGTGTACAGCAGCTGTGAAGCTGGACCCAACTAATCTTTAAACAAAAACAACATCCACATAAATTATTGTACTTAAATTCTAAGTGGCCTTGTACCTTCTTCTATGTTTACGTCGAGGTTTATGTTTTCCTTTGCCCCCCCGAAATCCTCCCCCATCCCACGCCTCCCTCACTACACTTGCTGCAGAGCAATTGTTCCAAAAATCATTCATTCATTTCCATCACCTGCAGGAAGCCCGCTGAGCCCAAAATAACCCCCGATTTTCCTCCAAGCTTTTCTTTATCGCCCCATTTTTCCTGTGCCTTTTTCCCTTGAGTCACTTTTGCCGTCACCGTGTTTATTCTTGAAATGTCCTTCACTCACATCCACCTCCCATTCTTATAGTCTTTGAAAAACAGCTCCTTGATGTTGCAGCTGTCCTCAACATGACACATCAACTTTTACAGATACTCTAATTAAGCGGCTCTGTCCAGGATTGCTTTTTCTGGCCTACTGAGAGCATAGCAAAAATAGTCAGTATTTAAGTTTTTAGCATACTGCCATCTCTGTGGAAAATGGTGATCTAACAAGGAGTCAGTGAACTAACAAGTCGTCAGTTTCAAACTTGAACATTTACAGCCTCCACACTGCCTCTGACCCTCCTTTAGACTTCAGCCTCCTCTGCTGCTGTGCAGCTTTCCTGTGACTACCGCCATAGCGGTTTGGAACGTCAGGCCAGCTCCCTGAATCATCGTCGGTGCACGTGCACCTTAGAGCGTAGGCACTCAAATGATTATTATTTTACTTCTGATTAAGCATGGATTGCGCAGCCGTTGGGTAACACGTGGTGGTGACAGGGGCTGTGAGCCGCCGGGAGGCACGTCCTCTCTGCACAGCAGCCCATGTTCGCCTGCGGGGTCCAAGCCAGGAGTAGATATTTCAGTTTTACATAACCACAAAACCTGTTTGGAGCAAATTCAACTGTAAAAAAACGGTTAAAAAAAGTAAAGTAGTTAAAAGGGTGTAAATGAGCTACAGCTTAATGAGCAGTGATGCAATTTTAACATGTGTTTTTCTGTTTTTGTATGAGAAAATCTTGAGTTTTGTTGGTCACAAATTGGCATTGTTTTGTATATCTTAATGAGCTAGACAGTAAATTCCTAATCTAATTAAAGATTCCGCTTTATGCCCAAAGGCATCTCAGAAGAGATCCAATTGGGGCATTTAATAATAATTTGTGCAGATTGTTTTTTTATCATTGTAATGTCAGAACAAGTACTCCCTCTGTCATATCACTTTATCTTAAAACATTAAAAGAAGGAATCATCATATTTTCACAACTTTGAAGCTGCAATCATGAACTGTTTCTACATCATGATAAACTCAAACAGCCAGTTCTTAGCATGATAGTCTAGGTATAATTAAAAAACTATTAGTGAAGAATACATCAATCTACACAGATCAGCCTGTACAAGTATCTATGAAAGTGTTCCGTTTCCATCTGATCAAAAATAAATTATTACTTGTTGTTGTGCTGCATATTAATGCTTAACAACCTTCAAGGGTCACACAAACAGCTGGACATGTACACTGACCCTCCCCGTTGTCAGTGGAAGTTTCCATATGTTACATCAGCCCCAGACTTTCAAACTGGTTGTGATGTCTCAGGGTTCTATGAACACATGGTTTATTTTCAGATACAGTATGGGAAAATAAAAAATCCGAAATCAATTTTAAAAAATCTATATCTGAATGGACGAAAACACCATGTCTATTCAACGCTCTGATCAGAATCGGTGGGGACTTTACTTTGCAGTTACCAAATGTGAAAAGCAAAAGTATCCCAGCAAACATGGCCATGCAATTCCACAGCATCCAAGAGAAAAATTCTCACTCAGGTGAACTGGCCCTTCCCAGCCTCCAGAAATAGAGGTCAGTTGCGTGTAGACGGCGTGCGGTGTCTTATGTCACAGGTGTTAGAACAGATGGTCACAGCGCTGGTTTGAGTCGGGATGGTAAAGGCACACAGTTCAGGATCACGCCAGTGATGGCTGTTTGCTTCCAGAAGTAGAAGTTTATGAAGGTCGTCCATTTGTCGTACCTCTGACTCATTGCTCTCCTTCACCTAATTCATCTTGAAAGAATCAGCCCTAACTTCCAGGAGGGTTCTTTGTGAGGACCCGCCTGACTTTTCTCCCACTATTTCTGACGTAGCGCGCATCCTGTTGTTTTAAGGCACCAGCCTGCCACATAAGCTCCCCTCTGGGTCCTGTTTCCCTCACTGGCCTGGCACTGGAGTAAGCATCCTGACCGGAAGGCTTTTCCCTCAGACCCATAACACTGTCTCATCTGGGAAAAAACACTTTGCCACAGATGTGTAAATTTTGTGTGTAAGTTTCCCAGCAACCTGAGTAATTGTTCAGAGGGGGTTTGCAACACTTGTAATAAGATGTGCATTTTATAGGATAAGATTCATGTATGAGTTTTATGTTAAATTTGTCAATGTGTACAGTCACTTTGTATTTTGAGTTTTGTGTTCTGTGAACCATAAATGTTTTATAGTGTCTAGTTGTATTCTTGTTGCATGGGGTAAAAAAAAAGTCTTCTGAGACGGCTCAACCACAGAAGCAGTGCCATCTTGTGGGAACAAAAATAAACCACAATCTAACTAAACTACATACATTATAAGTAATATATTCTAAATTGGGTTTGGTAAAAAGTTTAATTTAATCAAACTACCAATGGTTTTTCTCAGTTAATAATAAAAAGAAAAATACTAACATCACCATAAGAGATTAAGTGGATGCATTTTCAGCAGTATTTCTCCTTCAGTTTAGCCTGATTATGCAAGAGTTAACGAAGATGGACGGGGAAAAAAAAAAGCATCTTGGTGGCTCAGTCACTTTCCCGAGTTCTAAACAGATTTATGAGAAAGCGTGCAAAAGCTGAGCCGAGAGGGAGGGTTGGTCAGCATAAGTATGGGGAAACCTGTGAGAGGTTAGAGGGTCAACACTGGGAGATCCAAGCTTAGAGTCCATTAGTGGATTATAACCATAAACACTCCATGGCTCCTGCATCTCTCTTGGATTAAAGAGGGGACAGAGAGATAGGCTGGCTGCATGAGGGTAACTGGAAAGCGATTGAATTGAAGCAAATTCAAGGTCAGAACACAACAAACTGCATGTACCTGCAGTGAGACGGACTTGGCGGAGAGGAGAGGAGAGGGAAGTTTGAAGGAGTGACATCACTTTGGATTCTGGGATTTTAAGTGATCGCCTACATTATTTCACCTGGCTGATAGACTGACCTGCTCAAGGTAGGTGTGGGAAAACAAAGCTATGGGTGGTCTGCTTGCAGTCTTTACATGTGTGAATAAATTCAAATTAAGTGGGGATCCCTAAAAAAAAACAAAATCAGCTCTATCAGCAGGGAAGCATTTTTCAGTTATCAATTAGATGAGGTGTTAACAGCCATTTACTCAAAGTGCATCATTCTTTTTTTATTTTATTTATCATTTTAGTCAACTGACGGACCAGATATATGTACAGTACATGTTTTGCTATGACTTTCACTATAGATTGCCTCTCCTGACCACCATTCTCATTGTCATTGTGTAACTTTCATTTTGTTATGGGCTGAATTATCTGTGCGCAGGAAGCATGGATGTGGACGTTGAGGGGATTATCCAGTGCATCAAGCAGGGAGATGAAAATGGTGTCCAGATACAACTGCAGGAGTTCAACAAAGAGGTAACACCACACACAGACTCATACTTTCTCCCACACAGCATATCACTGCTTTACTCTTATTAATCCTGTCTGTCCCTGCAGTACGCCCAGTGCTTCTTCTTCGATGCAGAGGAAAGGGAACGACAGAAAGTAAGTTGTGTGCTGCTGCGGCGCCCTGAGAGGTTGCTGCCCTATTAGAACATTGCCTTACTCAGTCTACACCTGGAGAGTGAGTAAGCCTGCCCGACAGCCCGTCTGTGATTAGTAATTCTGCTGTATCAGTTATCCCTGATCCTCTGCTCAGGCAGATTGAGTCCACACAGACGGAGAGAATAACTGCGCTTATGACAGAGTTGCTTAAACAGTGACTCAAGTCGATCTCAGTTGATTGTGATTTATTTCTAAAAAGTATTGACTACTTAATTTTATTTTATTTTCTAAAACGATTAAAAAAATTCCCATAATTTATTTTTCAATCAAATTCTACAAGACACGTTTGTCCACTGATGATCATCACGCTGATAATTTTTCACACACACAAACCAGCCACCTCTCCACCGGTCAGTCTAGTCAACAGCCTTCATACTTCTCGCATCATGAAATTGTTCGGCAAGCAGCTTTGTGAAAACGCCTTTAGGAAATAAAAGCTACTGCTGGAGTTTTTAGGAGGCTTTCTGACAATGTTCTTCTATCTATTGTTTGTGCCATTACTCCATGAACATGGCTTGTCATCGCCCCGCAGCAAAGAAGACTAGAAGAGGTAAAGTACTGCCATGATTTTAAACATTTCATCTTTAAAAGAAGCTTAAAACAACGCAGAAAGCTAAAACACTGTGAAAAGTGAGAATGTACGTTTTCATTGCATCAGTTCAGGAAGAATAAAGTGAGGGACTATGCCGATTCGGACTCTGACGGGGAGGACTACGAACAGGAGAATCGAGGTCTCCTCCTCAGACAGGTCACTTGATGCCATCTTTTTTTTTTTTTGGTCCTTGAAAGTATCCTTTGAAAAAGGTCATAATATATTTTCCTGTTCCTCTCACCAGAATTTAGCTGTGGTCCTCGTAAGGTTCATCAAATCAGGAATCAAAGGACACCTGCTGAGAGTGTGTCTGCGCACCCTGAGGATCCTGTCCCGAGACAAAAAGATCCTCAGCCCCCTGGTGACCGACAGCACGCTCCTGAATCTGGCCAAACTAGCGGGGCTGACCACGAGTGATGTCAGCGAGGAGCCCACCGACCCCGACAGTGAATTCTACGATAACATCATCGCGTCCCTGGCAGAGGCCAAAGTGCTGCAGGGCCATGCCTACGAGGAGGAAGGCGAAGCCGAGGAGTACCTCCCCATCGACGAGGAATCCAGAAGTGAGACCAACAGCGGAGAACTGGACAACATCAGCTGGTCTGGGAGCCACAGGACCAGCATCAACGAAATGCACAAAGGGGGCACCCATCAGAACGTGCTGGAGCGAGGGAAGAGGGACCGCCGAGAGAGCAAGATGGATAGAGAGGAAGAGGAGGAGGACGGGGCCCACGAGGAGGAGGCGCTCAGGAAAGAAGCCATGAAAGTGCTGTGCAACGTGGTGTACAACAGCACCTGGGCACAAGAGAGGTTCAGTGGTCTCAGGTGGGCCACACACACAAACAGAAGGAATGTGCTGGGCTAATTTTTTAATAATCAAAAATATAAAAGACACAACTGTTTGATTATGCTAACTACATGTTGATTTCTTCTTGAACATGGCAAGTTTAGTCACACATGTAGTCAGCACAACTATTGCAAATCCAAAGGTTTTGGAGGAAATCTGCATGGCAGTCTGCACCTGTGAGAGCTGTTGTTTTTCCCTTCAGGCTCCTGAGTGGTCTCATTGAGCGTCTGTCCTCCAGCGTCAGCTGGTCCACTCCGTCCAGCCTCCAGTTCTACGAGCTGCGCCTCATGTTTCTCGTCACTGCACTGCGACCCGAGCTGAGCGCTCAACTTCAACAGGTAGCAAGGCCGGAGGTCCTGTCTGTGAGACGGTTAATTGTCATCACGAGAAAATGTGACGCTTTACCTGGTATCCTCCCTCAGGAGGGAGGGCTGCCAATCCTCACCGCGGCCCTGGAGAGCTGCCTGGAGGTGCAGTGGAAGGAGCAGTACGAGTGTGTGCTGGACCGTGCGGCACCACCCATATCTCTGGAAGCGTCTCAGCGGATCATGGAGATCCTCAAAATTCTCTTCAACATCACCTACCGGACCCACAGGCAGGAGCCGAGTGAGGTCAGTGAGTGTGAGGGGTTTGCAACAAGCAAGCCTGTAAGAGGAGAGTCGGGAAGAACTGTAGAAACCCGTTCTGCTCTCACTTACATGTGCTGCCACTGAGTTCATACAGAAGAACTTAAGCCAGACTTATAAAAGCAGTCGTGTTGAAATGGGTTGTGCAGCTTTCATTGTCCCCCTTCAGGAAGTTGCAGCTCTGTGTCGACACCTGGTGGCGATTCTGCGCATCTGCCTGCTCAGGAAGTGTTTGCTGTCGGACGATACTGACGAGCTGCAGGGGTGAGAATTAGGAGCGACTCTCCTGCTTCCCCAGCTTACTGTAAAATCCTACCCCCACCAACATGGGTGATACTTCTGAGTGTGTTTGGAACACCTCTGAACCTCATCCAGGATTGCCCAAAATTTGTAAAAAGTGTGCTTAAGCTTAAGTCTGATTAAGCAAGTTGAGCCTCAGTTTCATACCCAGCATTGCTTTTAAGATAACTCATAAAATACATCCTCTATCAGGTTGCACATTGAATGCTCTCACAGTCACTGGATTTCCTGTGGAAGTCATTTGACATGCCTCTTGTTGATAAATAAATATTCTGGTTATTTAGTTTAATTACAGTTTGACTTTAAAAGATTTTCTTCCCTATTTTATCTTCCTGTTGTCACCATTAGCTGCCTTACACTGTTCCTCTGCAGATACCAATCCTTAATAAGCAAAGAGATCGAGCACCCTCCTTTGTTCTTGTGTCTCGTCAATCCCACAGCCACACAGTCAACCTGCTGTCAGCGCTGCCTCTCCAGTGTCTTGACGTGCTGCTGGTGGCGCCTCTGGAGCCAGACTCCAAGCAAAGTGTGGGTGTCAATATGGACTGTGTCCACGCCCTGCTGATGTTCATGGAGAGACGCCTGGAGCTGGTGAGGGAGAAAGCAAAAAGACCACAGGGGTTAATGCTTCCAGCATCTCTTTCAGTGCCATTATTGTTTTTGTTTTGTTTTTTTGTTTTTTTTAAATGAGAATATTCTTATTTTTCTGAGACTGAAAGAGAGGCTTCTTCAAACCGTGAAATAAAGACTCCTCCTGCCTCTGTGCTTTACAGGGTGATAAGATCAAAGAGAAGGTGACGCCGATCCTCAATCTGCTGACAGAGAGCTGCAGGGCTCACAGAGAAACACGCCTCTACATCAGGAAACATGTAATATCACACAAAATGATCCCGCTGATGAAGTTTTCAAAACCTGCTCTTCATTACATCTGAATTATGCTAACGAGTCAAATATTAACACCAACATAAATCTGAGCCGGGGAAACTGCCTCACAGCACAGCAAGTCAAAATGTTAGCAGCAGATCCACCAATTCCATGTTTTTCTTCTTTTAGATTTTTACACCCAACACTTTGACAGTGAATGACATCAATATTTAATAGTAACGTTAATATTTAATACCCCCCATCTTCCCTTAACTGTCACTTTTTGAATGGTCTGAGTGTTTTCCTCCTGTTGTGCCTGCTTGCATTGAATGTTATTTATATTATTAATAAAGCTTAAAATTGTAATGTTCCCCACCCCCTTATTAGATTCTGCCTCCCCTGAGAGATGTATCACACAGGCCAGAGGATGGCTCCACAGTGAAGAATCGTCTGGTCCGTCTCATGACTCATCTCGACACAGACCTCAAACATTGTGCTGCTGACCTCATCTTTGTCCTCTGCAAGGAAAATGGTAAACCCCTCAGGATTAGGCGGATGCATTCAATTACTGACATGTCATACATATTATACAAAATGTATTCGTTCATTCGAATTTTATTTTCTATATTGCTTTTGACCCGCCCCCTACCTCTCTCTTTCCAGTGAGGCGTTTTGTCAAGTACACAGGTTATGGGAACGCCGCGGGCCTGCTGGCCACCAGAGGTTTGCTCGGAGGTCAGAGCCCCGGGGCCTACAACTCCAGTGTCCAGTATTCCAGCGACTCGGATTCCGACACGGAGGAGTACCGGCAGGCCAAAGACCGCATCAACCCGGTGACAGGGCGGGTGGAGGCAGAGCAGCCAGACCCTATGGAGGGCATGACAGAGGAGGAGAAGGAGGAGGAGGCCAAGAGGCTGATCATGCTCTTCAACAGGCTGTCCAGGTCAGCAAAGCAGCACATTTTTACAGCCATACAATGTTGATGATATCTGAGAGTATTAAACTAAGTGTAAGTACACTTAGTTTATACACACAATGTGAGAGGAAGTGTAAATACAGGCTTTGTTAATCCTAATGAACCTCTTTGCTGAGCAAACAATTAAAGGCTGTAATATTTACAGGTACGAAGTAAAAATAAATTGGTATTAATTCACCTTGAAATATCTTGTTCTAATGTTAAATGAAGAAGCGCAAAGATTACCCCAATTGTACATTATACCTTTGAAGAAGATGTGTGTCATAGAGTCTTTGTATTTCCTCATTATATATGCAGAAAAATCACCAACAATTTTAACGAAGAGCTTCACTGAAAGCAAAACAGTTTTCCTCCACCTATAAATCTCAGTGACAAGATTGAGAGCAGCATTACGGCTAGTGAAACAACTGTCCTTGCATTTGACATCTTGTGTGATTTTTCAGGGAAAGCATCATCCAGCCCATGGGAGTGAATGCAGAAGGGAAGCTTGTCCCGATAATGGGACTTGCAGAAAACTCCCTTTCTGACGAAGCAAAGCCTGAGACAGAGAAGGATGGAGATGCGGAGGAAGAAAACTGAAACATGATTTGCTTTATTTACATGGATTTGTAAACATCACATTGCTTAAGTTTATCAGTTAATAAATCCTTGTTTTAACTGTGTGGATGACCCCAAAGAAAAAAAAGAAGGTTAATGAAGAGCAACTCAGTCTTATAGTAGTTATGCTAAATAAAAGGTATAAAATGCTATTATATTTCTTCCTTTTTGGATTAATCCTAATAACATACAGTGTAGTAATGCTTTCATACTGATTTGAGTTGAGAATAAAATTCTCAATATGTTGTAGGTCCTGAGAGGGAAAAATATTTTTTGGGTGATCATGATTTCTGTGAGTGTTTCAATAAAGTCTCTAATATCTCTCTAATCAGCTGCATCTGGCACATTATTACAGTAGGACACCAACATGTGTGATGAAATCTGCACAGCATGCAGTCTGCATTTCATTCTCTGCCTGTGAAAAAGCCACAGTACGTATTGACTGATGCCAGATGCTCAATCTTCTTTTCAGCCCACTTTGTAACTGAACAATTCAATTCCAGGCATTCGTGTCATCCATCCACTCCAGTATATTAATTTAACTGTATTTCACATTTGACAGGTGTTTTCAACGTACTGTGCTTCTTATGGACTTGCACGATTAATACAATTTACAAGGTAATAAGCTGGATAAAAAACTTTCAAAGAACCGAAGGCACATTATTTTCTGGGCCAGTATGAAGAGCAAAAAGAAGTGGGATTGTTTCTCACTTTTGTACAAAAAGCTGCTAAAATAGGATAATTAATTCAGGTAGTATCCTATCAAATTGGGAACTTCTATTGTGTGTAAAAATAAAAGAGCTCATGTAAAATTAATAGCTTTGGTCAAGTTGCATCTTAAATATGTGCAATCCTTTCTGAAGTAACAACCAAAGCAATCCCACCACAATTATCATCACAAATTTGGTGCGGACCAAAGAGGGAAAAAAAAGAGAAACCAGTGGGATGCTCTCTGGTGTTTAAGGACCAAAAAAGGTAAACAAAGACTTCTTTCAGGCAGTCAGAGGTGGATTAGTACAATTCCATCAGCTCCTCCAGCGACATCTGCAGCTCTACAGATTGCAGGGAGGAGGCTCCGCCCTCAACAGCTATATTCTTCAGCATCTCCATCGAAGTCAGCACCACCTGAGACAGAAAACAAACACCACAGAAGCTTGACGAATGAGAGCATAAGCGCTTTCATGAAATCTGTGAATATATACTTTTTTACGTCTAATTTTGTTTCACAAGCAGGAAAACAACATGGAGGCTGAGGAATACAAAAACCTTTCCTCAAGGTTAGGAACTCAAGTATTTGCTTACCTCCACTGTGATGAGTTTCTTCTCCCAGGGCTTGTTGTCTGGATCAGGCCACTTCTCCCCGAGACAGAAGAACAGGGAGCATGGAGGGCAGGCTCCCCCATTACTGAAATCCACTATTCCTATAAGGAACCAGAGACTTTGACATGCTGCACCCTGCGCAAAGAAAACAATCAGAAAATAAGAGAGTCTTTTCTTTTCACCTACCTCTCACAAAGTCCTTGAACTGGTAAAGTGGATCAGGGTGCAGTTTCGAAATCTCTTTGGGCTGTTTGCTGCTGTCAAACTTGGAAAAGCTCCAGAATGCTTTGATTTCACCGCGCCGCTGTCCGTAAACCACGTGGCCCGATACTCCCACATCCACGCCATCACCCAGAATATCCAGGATCCTTTGGGTGAGCTTGGCCTGAGTTTGATCCAGCATAGCCACAGGCATTGGCAGAGAGACCAGGGAGAGGCCCGTCTCACCATCCACCTCCGTACCCACGAGTTGAGGCCTGATGAGAAGACATTTATTAACATTATTTGACTTTACTTTCAATATATGATTATACACTATATTATTGAAAACATTCAAATATAAACTACTAGGTATTTTGCTTGTGTGTGTATCTGTAAGCCATAAAAAGCTGAATTATTTTATCTTTTTAAATCCAATATGTTTTGTTTTTGTTTATGTTTTTCTATCCACTGTGTGCATGCCATTTTATCTCACTGATCTCTTTAATGTGTTCCCGCTTCTCTAATAGCTCAGTTTCATCTCAGTGCAAAGCTTTGTGGGAGCTCGCATGTGTGCACCACCTTGTCTAGTCGCCTGAGTTGAAATTCATGAGCATGTCTTCGCTTCCAATTAGACAGCTCAACTTGGCAGGAGTGGAGTGCCTTTGTGGTGATGAGATAATGGCAACTCAACATGCTATTTTACAGCAAAAGCTGCAGGTTTAGACGGTGCAGGTCCACCCACTGAAACACCCGCTGGCGGCTGATATACTGTCAGAACCAGTACAGTAACCTCTACTACACAAGTATAGAACTACTACTACATGAAGGTGTAGTATTACACAGTACTTTGTGATAACCATAGTTACTAATGCGGAAACTTAGATGGCTAAGCTTGTTATTTTTGACTTGGCTGCGATTGCCGCCCTGCACAAGAGGGAGGAACCTGATGGCGGTTTTGGAAGAAAGGTAAAATCAATCAGTCTTATCTTTTTAGTCCTTGAGATGCTTCATGCAGTTTCAGAGCTTCCATGTAATAACGTAGCCCTGGCTGTAGTGCTCTTACTAGAAACTGGCTTGTGCGACCAGTTCTGAGAGCTAAGCTGAGAGATACCCATGACAACGGCTGAATGTGATACATTGTTACAGATTGATTTTTTTTTTTTTTTTTTTTACCACGGTGAAAAGAACTTGCTCAGATGAGGTGTGTTGTGGTATGCTGGCATTGTTCACAATCGAGGTGCTTGATATCATAGTAAACAAAGCACATGTAGCCCCATCATAAATAATTCAGCCCAGATTATCAGTAGCTGGCATTATGCCACCTGAACTGTGGTGACCACAAAACATCAAATGTAAAACAGAGGATGCCATGTCAAAATATCGGAGGTGGAAAGATACAGCCTTGGTGAAGAGGCCACTGAATGCTTGGAAAAGACATCTCTAAACTGAGCTATTGGTAATCAAATTGAGGATATTCATTTGTAGGCATTTAATCATTCGACCCAGCTACTTCTAGCCAGAAAGTATAGTTTGCAATATATTAAAAACCAATAAATGTTGATTTCCCATGGAAATGATGAAAATATGAATGCCTGAGATCAAAACAGTTTGGTTGCTGAGCTATTACCTTATAAGAATTCCTCTTAATATGCATATTTTACCCCTTTTATGTAACTCTAGCAACATGAGTATTATTATCTGACACTAACATTATTTACATAAACAATATGTGTCTAAGAATAAAATCTTATTCCTAAAATAAATAATTTTGTGGGTTAATCTTCATATTTACTGAGAGATGTGGTCTATCCTCTTAATGTATCTCTTTTAGCAAGAAGATTAACACTGCTACAGTTACAAAAATTAGGAAGTTTCTTTGAAATGCAACAGGGAATATTGTCAGAAATGTTTCCTGAGGAAAATGATTCATTTCTATGTTACCTGTAAACAAGGCGGATTCCAGCCTCATTCTCAACCAGCTGCTCAGACACCTTCACTCCTCTGTAGTACACAGTAATCCTGAATTGAGTCTCTAATGATTAAGAAACAGCAGAGGTGTGTTACAATCCAATCTAATGTTATTTGGGTTGAAAATCACAACTTGTCCCTGCCGACATGCTGAATGCATTGTATTCAAAAGCCTTAGAAAAACAGATGGCATTGAACAATGTGTGCCATTTCTGTGAGTGTGTGTCATTTTTTTCTCATTTCATGGCCACAGCAGCATCCCCCAACTTACTGAAATTATCCCCATCTCCGGTCTTGTGCATTGTGTGCAGGAACTGTGCTGCGAACTGCCCATCATCGTAGGCTCCTCCTTCAGCTTCCCTCACTGGACATGCTGGTTGCTCTGGCAACCCAGTTTCACTGGCTGCACCCTCAAATGCTACTGGATCCTGTTGTTGCCCGGGCAACGGATGTCCACCAATCACAACCTGATTGTGCAGCTGCTGTTGCTCAGGAGGAAGCTCAAAGCCCGCCGTGCCCTCTGTGGAAAAGTTGGAGAAACCTGAAAAAGTGTGTTTGTGGGGAGGAACCTGGTTGTTGTCTGCCGATACTGCAGCGAGACACGGGGAGCCGCGCCGGGAGGACTACCTCTGTCTGGGCCGATGTTCAGGCCTTTCAAACACTCCTGGAGAATGTCCTGGCTGGCTTGGCATTCTGTTGACAAATGTTGTTGCAAAGGCTCATCAAACGGATGATGGATGGATGATAGTTGAGTACGTTTCTCTTCAAACACATCAAATTCATACGGGAAATAAAACAAATAAATAGTGACAGAGGTCCCTCACCTGGCATCACAATGTCTTCTGGAAGGTAGAGACCATCGACAAAGTATGGGCCAACCTGGTGCTGGGAATCGCAGACAGAAACCTCATTGAATTTGTGTTTAATTATGTCACAACACTGCTTGTGTACGTGTAAAACCCCCAGTGCCCCGGCACTCACTTCTCTCATGTTGAAGTCATCAAACGCAACAGCATCCTCTTGCTCCTGGGATCCAGCAGATGAGCTAGCTTTGAGGGTAACAGCAAATACCTTTGCTTACTTTAAATTTTTGTTGACAGAAAATTACAGTTAATCGTATTAAATACCATCACAAAGGCTCTGTTTTTTTATTAGATTTTTATCCCCATTTTTTCTAATTTATCATTCGCACTCAGTTGTGTTTTTTACACTAACATAACAAATTGACACTGCAAATATTGCCATTTTTTGGCATCATAAAATGCAGAGCCTGAATGGTGTAGTAGTATGATAACGTTCAGTGGACAAGACTGCAAGAGCAGAAGAATTTTGGATTGTGTCCCCGGATTTTAATTTTCCACAACGGCGGACACTCACCCGCTGATGCTGATTCCTCCGGCCACCGAAACACTTTATGGGGGTTAGCTACGTCATTCTTGTTATCTGACATCATTTTGAAGCCTTTTGCTCGGAGGGCACTCCTGAAGTTCCTCTTCCAGACGGAGTGGTCTCCCAGAGCTCGGCCGTTGCCACTCACCTCGGCCCAGGCCTGCGGGGGAGCAAAAACATCCACGGTGCCATGTGGTTCACTCGTCTGTGGAATGGCAACTTTTCAGTTGAAGATGCTTTTGGCGAGAGCGGCTCTAACTTTAAAGATGAGGACATCCGTGTTAGACGAGTCCTGTCGGAGGCCGTGCTTCCAGGGAATGGAGAATTCTGTTTGCGCTGGGTTGGTCCACTGGACACCTGGAAAGCTGCCGCTGTTGATCTGGGCCTTCAGCCATGGAATCAGCAGCGGTTTAGGATGAGCCATTCCTACAGGAGCAAGAAAAAGCTATGAACCATAGTAACGCATCTCAATTTATCATCACTACTGATCTTTTTCTTTCTATCTCATATGACGCAAACTACACCAAAAAAACTATGACATTGTATTTTGTTGTTTATTTAAAAACAAACTTTAACTGTTGTACCCACATTGAAACCTTCTCTGTAAATGCGGATGATTAAATTAATTAGAAGTTTGTAATTTTGTTCAAAAAAATCTTTTATTTTTTGTTGTATTAATATTTTAATATGACATGTTCCTTTTTTCTGCTTTCACTTCCTTAACAATCGCTTTTTGGCAGCCAGCGTTTCATGGAGAAATCACTGATGAGGACTCAGTTGGAAAAGGTGGATCCACAGCCAGGCCTTTGCTGTTTAGCTCCCCTCCCCACTTTGTGGACTATCACAGGATATACAACTTTTGAAGCCAACAGCTCGGAATTACCCATTAATACAGTTTCCTTGCTTTCAAAGTGGGTTATTTTTAACCAACACAAATGTAAAAATTATGGTTGGTTGCTAAATGTACATATGTACATGTAAAAATAAAGAAAAAGTGTAAATTAAAGCAGGGGGAGATGTTTGCTAGGGACCTCTTGGATCAGAACTGGCCAAGAAGAGGATGTTTATGTATATTGTATGAAAAGTACATATTAATTATGTGCACTCTCAATTCAACAACCCAAATTCAATACCAAAAAATATCAGTAGGATGGGGTACAGAGGAAACACTTTACAAAATAAATAAGTCCCTGTTAAAAGCCAGCATCATTTGGCAAAAAGGTGTCATTTGGATTTCTGAACATGATAAGATTATATCATGTATCATACATACACACACACAATATTTATATAAACAATATGTTTATATAGACATATAAACATATTTCCTCGTGTGGACGCTGGTAAACAAACCTCGCTCCTCCTCCTCCTACCTGCTCTGTGCTTATGAGGCTTCTTTCGTGCAGCAGGTCCTGGATTCTGAACGTCTTCAAGCACAAGAATCTCAAACGCGTCGACTCAAAATACGCGCTGACAAACTGCCACTCTATCGAAAGCTGTCAGTCGTTTTTAAACTGAAAAGAGAGCACCCAAGTTGTTCACGGGAAAGTCCAACCCGTCAGTTTCGTTTTCCTGATGTGACGTCAGAGCCGGCCGGGCGTGCGCTGCACGCGCACTGCTGCACACACACTGTTTCACACACTGCACACACACTGCTCACACACAGCTCACACACTGATACACACTGATACACACACTGCTTCACACACTGCTTTACACACTGATACACACACTGCTTTAGACACTGCTTCACACACTGCTCACACACTGCTTCACACACTGCTTTACCCACTGCTCACACACTGCTTCACACACTGCTTTACCCACTGCTCACACACTGCTTTACACACTGCTTTACACACTGCTCACACACTGCTTTACAAACTGATACACGCACTGCTTTACACACTGCTTCACACACTGCTTTGTTGGTGTACTTTTGTGGACTCATCTCAGACACAATAACATAAAACATCATCAAAAAACTTCCTTTGTTGAGAGAATGTGCTGCTGTTTTTACGTTACCTGGAGATTACCAAGAAATTCCCAGCTGAAAACACTGAAAGTTACATAGATCTCCAGTAAATGAGAATTTATTCCACGTCTTCTATTGTATTGTATATGCTTTCTCGGGTCACACACTCACAGCTGAAGGATTGAATATTAAATGTGTAGCACAATGAGAGACACACTATTGTGAGGTGTGACTCATGTTGGATGTGTGGCCCTGCCTCTGCTCCTGTAAAGGCAGGTAAACAAAGTCAGTCAGATGCCTGTGGTCTCTACTCTTACGAGCCCACAGAGATGTAGGACTACACCCGAAATGAAAGTAACAGAATAAAACGGTTTGTTCTTTGTATGTTTTATTCATTTCTCAAATACAGGAGAGTTCATGTACAGGACAAAGAATTTCATCAAGAACTGTACAATATTTACACGTCTTTTTTTTCCCTTTTTTATGGAAAATTAGATTGTTTTCAAAATAAGTCATAGTATGCACAAACATCAAAATGATAAAAATGAAATGACTGTTTCCTCTTTAAATATTACTTATTTATACTCCTTCTTTCCACATGGGAAAGGGATAGTTCTTTTTCTTTGCACCTGCATGACTGATGATTGAACTGAAGCACAACAATGTTTAATTTCAAATAGATTCTGCCATATTCCTTTTTTTTTTCTTTTCTTCCTTTTTAGTTATTTTACACCCACTGCATTTAATACAATAGTTCTGTCTCAACGTCTGTTCTTCTGTATAGAGGGGAAGACGACTTAGATATGTGGGTTATGATTGTATACTGATCCTGTGGAAAATAAAAAGGTACTTTAAAATGTCAGGGCAGCAAACCAGTGCTTGTGAGAGTTTAAGTTAAAAACCTCCTCATATAAATAATAAAAATGTGTTTATATATTATCACACAGCGGACTGGTGCTGCCCTTCACGTAGCACAGAATGACAGAGCGACAGCATTTATTAACACTTTCCATTGTTTTCCACCGTGGAGGAGTCCATGATCTCACTGCTCACAGCACACTCTACACGCAGTTTAAAAAGCATTCTCACCCTCTTCCACTCTTTTCAAAAGCCAACAGCTGATGTTAGTCTTTTCAAAAAATAATTTATGTAAAAACTAAGCGGTAACAGTTTCTCTTTCAACTACTGTCTTCATGACACACAGTTAACAAGATGTCAGTGGCTCCTCGGTTGACTTGGTGTGGACTGCTCCTCCTCTTTGTCCTCCCGTGGTGCGTCTCTCTCCCTTTTCATCAATGGACAATTCCCTCTCTTTCGCCTCCAGCGACCCCTGATCCGGTAGGGTCTCGTTCTCACAAAGTAAGACATTTTAGTCACTGATCAACAACAAGGAAGGAGAAAAAAAAACAAAAGAAGGCTAGTCCGAGGTCACAACAGACCCTCCTGTGTTCAATAAGAGCCTTAAAAATTTATCCTCGGATCTGAAGAATTTTGAAGAGGGTCAGGGGGCTGTACAGTGGGATCCATCTCTTTCCATGAATGTTTCTTTTTTTTGTTGTTTGTTTCTTTTCTTTTGAATGGGCTTACTTGAAACTCTTTGCCTCTCTTCGCAGGCTGACTCAGACTTTGGTGCTGAGTGTGAGCAGCTCGATGAAGGAGCTAAAGAGCGTGTCCAGCCAGCCCTGGTTGGCCATGCACTGCTGCACCACTTCCTCTTGGCCCGGGTCCTCGGCCGCCTGCTCAATGGTGTTGGTCTGGAAAAGTGGAACGAAAACATAGGCAGCTGTGAACAGATCATGACACAGAGCCAAAAAAAAAAGAAAGAAAGAAAAAAAAAAAAAAGGAAAGCATATGGCAGCTCGAGCTCAGAACAGATAAAATCCAGTTAAAGATCCCAGAGACGTGCCAGCTTACCTCTTTCTTGCACTGTAAGAAGGTGTGGTATTTATAGTGATGCAAGGAGTGGTAGAGACTGTAGACTCGATATGTCTCAGAAGACAGTTTAAGGTCCTACAAGAGAGAGAGAAAAACATGATTCCATCCATTATCAATACCGCTTATTCCCTGATGGGGTCGCGGGGAAAAATGATTGATTTCATTCCAATTAAAAAAATGAATAAATCAAAGGAAACATCTGTCAACCTGGTGTCTGGAAAACTGAAATTGCAGCAGATATGGAAACTCACGGCAGGTGTTCTCTTTTACCATAATGGCTAATTCTGTCAAAGCCACAGTTTCGGTATCTACATTTCTCGATAATTATACAACCAGTTGTTTTTTTTTTTATTATAGAAATCTCCACATTTACTTGGTCAAAGGCCAGACATTTCCTGTAGCTGCTTGTTCAAGTGTTGAGGTCAGTGAATCAAATGAGTCTGGTCCAGTCTGGGGCTGTGGAGGAACTGGCCGGGGTCATAACCACAGCGCTGTGTGCAGCCGCGTCTTAAAACACTTCTAAACTCCGAGCACGTGGACAACAGCAATCAGCTCTGCTAATATCTGGCAATTGAGCGCGAAATTGGTCGCGACTGATTCGGTATAAAGTGGCTAGCTCTGGGTCCAGCATTTCTTGGCTCCACAAGCATCACAGCTTTCAAAGAAGCAAAGTCTGTTTCATTTCAATGTGCTACTTTCCATGGCCTCTCCAGATGTGAGGACCTCCAATGTAAACAAATAAAAGAACCCCCCCCCCCCCCCCGCGACTCACACATGCCTACCTGTGGTTTAGGCAGGGTCTTTTTGACTCTGTTGAGGGTCTTACGGTTGTAAGCGTCGCCACTCAGCCGCACCCTCACCACTCCGTTGTCCAGGGGGTCTATAATTATTTGGGGGTAAGCGTGAAGAACCTCCTGTTAAGGAGAAGTGGTATAGTCAACACTGGGTGTTAGGGAACAGTTATGTCCAAATCTGTATTTTAATTTCACATAAATGGGATTATTCTGTATAACGTGTTCAGCGTGTCCTCCTCCATTAGCGAAATGCCACTAATCCCCTCCGTTGACACCGTTTTATCAGGGAGTCTGACCTCTAACAGAGTCATACACCGCTAGCAGAAAAGTCACATTTCACTTTTGTCTGGTAAATTTGAATAATAAAAAAATGTAAAAAAGTTTGCATTTCAGTGCAGAGCAACAGAGAGAGGAGCGGCACAGCGCGGCCAGATTACCTGGTGTTGGGAGCTCATGCTGACTCTCCTCAACAACCTTCTCTTCTGTTCGCTTAGGATGCTGTCAATCTTCCTCATCGGGGGGAGGTAGAGCTCATCTGATGGCCAATCAAGTTGAAAGAGGTTTCATTAGTCATCGTTCACACAGCTGCCAGTCATTTTAATACCAAGGGCAAATTCAAAGCAGCTCTTTTCTGGCTGCAGATCCATTTGCTATCCCGGGGTTTATTTCCAACCCGTCACACCTTTTTATGTGGATTTGACAAACCCATTAGAAGATTCAGCTAAATATGGACGCGGAACAGTCAACAAAGGCAACCCCACTCTGAGAGCAGTTTGTCCAGCTGGCCCAAAACTTGGCAGCGGACATTTTTCTGTGGTGGCTGCGTTTACTTAACCTGCCCCAACTTCCCCTTTAGGAGGAAAAAAAAAGCAAAACAAAACCACACGCCTCCGTGTAACTGTGTCAGTTGAGAAATTCAAGCTGGACAAAACCTGCTGTCGGACAGGCTACTCTGGTTAGACAGGAGAGACATTCTGCTGCGTGAAGCACGGCGTGTGGGGGGTTCTCACCGTCGGTGTCTTCCAGGGCTTGGATCATGTCTGGATCCAGCGCCGTGCTCACCAGCATCTCCACGTAGCTCCTGAACATCTCCCTCATGGCACGGTTGTTCACGCCGCCCTTCACTGGCACTGAGTGGGCAAGAGGCAGAGTTTCAAACTCTGCATAAAACCTTATGCCATCTGGCTTTACAAATGAATGAGTCCAAATGCAAGCAGATCAAATAAAAAAAACAAGATGCCATCTTACTTTCATTTTCACTCGCTGCTTCATCCGAGGAGTCCGATTCTGATGATGATGGTACGGATGAAGGTACATTCAGCCACTTCTTCCTCTTTTTCGGGGGTGGTTCCGCCTTCACTTTGGTTGGCTTGGTCTTGGGTGGTCGCTCGGCTTTCTCCTTCCTCTCGAATCCTTTCTTGTCCTCCTTTGCTCTGCCTCGGTCAGACGCCCCGACGCGCTTCTCCACCTTCTCCTGGTGCGGATGGACCCTCTTCTCCGCCTTCTCCTGCTGCGTGTGTGCTCGCTTTTCTGCTTTGTCCTGCTGCGAATGCGTCCGCTTCTCGGCCTTCTCCTGCTGCTGCGGCGGGGCCCGCTTCTCCGCTTTGTCCTGCTGCGCATGCACTCGCTTCTCCGCCTTCTCCTGCTGCAGCTGCACCCTCTTCTCCGCCTTCTCCTGCTGTGGGGAGACCCGTTTCTCCACCTTTTCCCTGTCAGGGTCAGTTTCTCTCTTGTCCTCCTTGGCTTTAGGCACAGCGACCGGGGCTTCCTTCTTGTCCCGAAGCTCCTTTGCTGCCGCGGCCGTTCGCGTTTTCTCCCTCTGTTCCCGCTGGACTTGAGGAGACACCCGCTCCTCTTTGTCCGGCACTCGTGGCTGTGCCTGAATAGCAGGAGGGGACGCCATTCTGGGTAGAGATTGCCGTCTGTTGGACATTGGCAGGTTATGAAACAGTAAGCAACATGACATCTTTCAGCTTCTTTTACTTAGACAAAAAACGGGGATCTGAAAAGCTACCTGAGGGCAGGTGTGGCTCGGCGCCACGGTCTTCGCGAGCATACTCTCACATAGTCCTTCTTGTTGACATTTTCCAGAAACTTCACGTATATTCGCTGGTACCGCCTCTTGGCATCTCCAAAGTAGCCAAGATACTAAACCAGAAACAACCAATTAACATTCAGTACAAAAGAAAAGCTTTGTGACAACACGTTAAAGCACAGTGTGTCCTGATAAACAGGATAGTTTGTGCAGGTGTGGCCGGTTAGCAGAAGGCTTTGGGCTGAACTCACGTTGCTCGTGGCACAGAACTGTCTCTGGCCGTCTTTGATCTCTGGGCTGAACTTCTGCAGCAGGGCTTTCTGCACCCTCCAGATGGGTGGAGGTTCACGGCCTGTCTGCAGTGCCAGCTGCTCACAAGCACACCACACGTGGTTCAGTCATTCAACAGTTACACTTTTTAAAAAAAATCTTTAGCGTTAATTTGAAGTTTTTCAAAGATACCTTGAGAGTTCCGATGTCTTCCACCCGCACCACAAACTCATCCCTCTCTCTGAAGATGCCCTCCCCGCCGCTCTCGCTCTCATCCTCCTCACTCTCTCCAACGATGGCAGCATCTTCTTGCTTCTGGGCGAGGTGCAGAGAGGTGATCTTAGGAGGTGGAGGCTCTTCGGGAGAGGCGGGGGACTCTGGCGACGGTAAGGGAGACTCCTTCTGAACTGAGGCTGGGGGAGGAGGGGAGGGTGGAGGGGGAGTTGCGGGCTGGGGGACGGCCGCCTGAGCAGGGGGAGGGGCTGGGGCAGGGGCAGGAGCAGGGGTAGGGGCAGGGGCAGGGGCTGGGACTGGGGCAGGTGGTGAGTGAGGTGATGCGGGTGCGACGGGGCTCGGAGGCTGGGATTCCTCCTGCTGCTGCTCCTCTGGAGGATGCAGGGGTGATGGGAGCGAGAGGGGAGGGAGAGGGGAGTGGGAAGGAGAAGAGGATGTGGCAGGAGAAGGAGGGGCAGAGGGGGGTTCTGGGGATTCTGGTTCTGGTGAGAGCTCGGGCAGAGGAGCTGGAAGGTATGAGGGAAAGGAAACCAAAGTCAGGTAAACCCATGTTTTTGAACATATACAGAATTTGACATTTTTTGAAAAACGACATTTCTTTAAAAGGAAAAACCTGTTTGGAAGAAAGTGAGAAAGACTTCAAACTTTACCTTCAAGCTTAGGAGCACTCAGGGTCTCCAGTTGAGGTTCCCTTTCCTCTGTCATTTCACTCTCCTCCTCCTCCTCCCCTGTGATGCTTCTTTCCTCTTCATTCTCCTCCTCCTTGCTCTCTTCCATGTCTCCATCCTCTGGCTGCAGGACATCCGGTTCATTGGACTGGGGCTGGGTGTGGGGGGTGTGCACGGTCGGCTGGGGACTAAGCGTGGGGGGCTGCATTGGGGAGCCAAGAGGGGCTTGAGTGGGCTGAGTCTGAGGAGGTGGAGGAGGTAACGTGGGTTGGAGGTTTGCCGTTAGCTGAGGCGTGTCATACAGAGCCGAAATGGCCGAAGAGATGCTCTTCTGGAGGTCCTGGTTCTTTCCAACCGAATCCTCCTCATCAGAGGAGAAAGAGGGCAACGTCTCCAGGTTCCTTTTCAGCTCGTCCTCTAAACGCTTTGGGCTGGGGCAGTTGCCCAAAGCAAGACCCCCATTCCCCTCACCGTCCCCGAAAGGAGGTGGTGGTGGAGGTGGGGGTGGTGCAGGAGACAGTGGACGCAGACCCCCGGCTTTACAGGGGGAGGTTTCACCATTGTCATGCTCCATTCCTGGGGAGATGTCCAAACCTGGGGGTCTCTTCCCAGTCTTGAGGAAGTCCAAGAACGACGCGACAAATCCAGCCTTGGACTCCGAGTCTTTCTCATCCACCTGGAAGCAACACAAGACAAATGACCATGACTCAGCTGAAACAGAGAACTCCACAGCTACTGTATGTATCTATATTCAATATCCAGCTTAGCATATAAAGAATCAAATCCTGGGGCCTTTACCCTCTCCTCCAGTCCCTCTTCATCCACTCCTTCACTGATCATCTGGCTTTTCTGTTTGGTCTTGTCCTGGCTTCTGTTGCTTTCAGTACTGCAAGGGGGTCCAGGACTTAAACCAAGAGAGGGAGCCGAGCCAACTGAGCCGTCTGACAAAGCAGGGTCGGTGCCAGACAAAGAGTCTGTCCTCAGCAAGGCGTCAGATGAAGACAGGGTGCCGATTGGTAACTTGATCTGCAAGAAACAATCAAGAGACAGATCGTGTAAAATCAGTAGCACATTTCACTTTTTAAAAAATTAAGATCTTACTAAAAAAACAAAAAACAAAGAAGAAACAGTGAGTGTTCTGCCCTGTGTGGTTAACAAACAGGCAGTAAGCTTCCTCATTAGCTCACATCTGAGGCTCATGTGAACCACCACTTGTAGCCTCGATAACAAGTGTCCATAGTCTGGTCTGATGATATTCCACATTTATTTGTTTTTCTTGGATAGAAAGTTACTGACCTTGAGAGGAGGGATGGGCTCATGCTGCTGCGGCTGGTGGTGGAGCTGCTGCTGCTGCTGATGGAGGTGATGGGAGTGCATCTGATCCTGCTCTTTCCCGCTCAGTTCCATGTACATATCCTCCCTCCTTCCTCCTCTCCCTCGGCTTCCGCGGCCCCTGCCCCTACCTCGTCCCTCCACACTGAATCCCCCTCCGACTGGAGTTGCTCCCATATCCCCCAGCATGCCTCGGGAGGTGTATGGCTCAGGCATGGGGCGGATGCGAGGTCTGCCTCTTGGCCTTGGGGGGCCCTCTCTTTTGGGCCTTGTGGGCTTTCGGCCTCTCTTTTTGGGCCCCTCTGGAGGCAGAATAGAGTGAGCGCCCATAGACGAGTAACCAGAGGAGTGGTAAAAATCGATGTCGCCCATCAAAGGGCTGAGGGATCCGCCTCCACCCTTTCTGCAGCTGGACACCAGATCTGGTAGAAGATCGGGCAGCCGGCGGCTGTTCAACCGTATGTCTGCTGGCTGGTCAGCTTTGTCCTCGTCGTCCTCAAACTCGTACTCTTGAGCGTAACTTTTCTTGGGCAGTGTGTTGGGGTCCCGGCGCTCCTTCAGAAGATGGAAAGAGCTGGATTTAAGGAGCTTCTTGGGACGAGAAGAGCAGAAAATGGGAGACTGGAGGCCTCCAGAGCCCGGTCCTGAGCCTGGCCCTCCCTGGCCGGAGGACATCTTGGCTCCGGAGTTGTTGGGACCTGCTGAACTGGGGCCCATGCCCATAGCTGGGGCCTGGGACTGTATCAGGCCTAACTGTTCGGTGTTGACAGTGGAAGGAAGCTCGTGTGTCTTGAGAGAGTCTAGATCCAGAGTCATAGCGTTGTTACTGGGCTCCTCCAGGCCATGGCAGTAGGGTTCATAACCCTGATCTCCACCATGGTGACCCATCATGTCATAGCTGGGGCCACCGCTTCCCCCGGCTCCTCCTGCACTCTGCCCAGCTTTCATTGAATCCATTCCTTCCTGCCCTGCGTGGCCTTCGTTCATCTCCTCCTGCCCCGGTCCTCCGCCACCGGTGCAGCTGGACTTGTAGTCCTCTGCACAGAACATGTCTTCCATCCCTGGGAAAAAAGAGCGGTCCTCGTCTTGGAGGAGGGAGTCGGGAAAGCAGATAGAGGTTAAGGGTACAAAGCGGTTGCTTTGTTGACCCTGGTCGGCCTTCTCCACTGGGCTGACCGTGTCAAACTGGTGCTGCTCTGAGTGCTGCTGGTCCAGCTGGCCCTGCTGCGGGGTGAGCTGGCTCGAGAGGGATTGCTGTGGGTCTGGCTGGGGCTGGGGGTGGGCTGAGGCAGAGGGTGGGGGTATGTGGTGGGGGTGGGGGGGCTGCTGCGGGTGGGGCTGGTGGTGCGGGTGGGTTTGTTGGTGTTGAGAGGTGGGGTGCTGCTGCTGCGCGTGGTGCTGCGAGAGGTGGTGCATGTGGGAGGGGGTGGAGAGGCCGATGTCGGGCTCGGAGAGGAAGGAGTGCAGCTCGGAGGCGGAGTGCTGCTGCGGGTGGTGGTGCGGCGGGTGCTGCCTCTGCTGCTCCGGCTGCTGCCGGTGGCGCTCGCCGCTGCCCCCGCTCCTCCCCGCGCTGCCCGGCCCGCCGCGCCGGTCCTCTGACACGCCCACATCGCTGCTGGACGTCTGCGACAGGGACCGCTCCAGCATGTCCAAGGACGAGACCACCGAGCTCTGCTTGACTTGGCCCGGTTCGTGCTGATGCGGCCCGTGGTTGTAGTGAGCCGCCGCCACTTCCAAAGCCTGGGACTGGAGCTGCAGCTGCAGCTGGGTGGCCTGGGACTGCGCCTGAGCTTGGTGTTTGCTTGAGCCGAGCCTCCCGCCGGCACCTTCCATTACGGCCTGCTGCTGGCTCATCGAGTGCTGCTGCTGGGAGTGAGAGTCCATCTTATGGTGCTGTTGGTGCTGCGAATGAGAGTCTATTTTGTGGTGCTGCTGATGTTGATGGGAATCCATTTTTTGGTGCTGTTGATGCTGAGGGTGGGAGTCCATTTTCGGATGCTGCGGATGCGGTTGGTGGGAGTCCATTTTGTGGTGCTGTTGGTGTTGGCGGTGCGAGTCCATTTTGTGGTGCTGCTGATGCTGTTGGTGTGTGTCCATCTTATGGTGTTGCTGATGAGGCTCCAGTTTGTTGCGGGTGGTGTGGGACAGCACCGACTGGAGCAGGTGTGGCGGCTGGCGGGACTGGTCGGTGGGGGAGTCCATGAGGGACGTGGTGGCTTGAGACTGAGAATGCTGCTGGAGCTCCGGGGTCTTCCGGGGATAGGGGATCTCCGCGCGCTCCTGCGGCTTCTTTTGGAGCTCCATTTGGGTGTGTGGTGGCATCTGGGAGTGCGAGGACAAATGCTGACTGTGCGAGGAGTGCTGCGGGGCCAGGGGGTGCTGGGTGTATGGGTCACCCCGACCATAGTGGACAACTGAGCCAAGGTTGTCATGGTGATGGAGGTGGGAGTGCACCTGTTCGGCGCTGGCCCTGCCACCGCCACTTCTGCTGCTTCCGACAGATCTCTCGTTCCTTTGCTGCTGTTGATGGTGGTGCTGTTGGTGCTGCTGCTGCTGCTGCTTCTTTAGGGACATCTCCAGCTGGTTGTCCAGCCCTGAGATGGACCCGCCAGAGCCCGCATTTCCTACTCCGGCTGTGGATGTGGCACTGTGGGTGCGTATAACACTCTGGGGGTGGTACCTCTCCTCAGAGGTCTTACCCATGTCGTAACTCATCCCTTTCCCAGAGTCAGTGGTCGGGGGCACCGACTGGGGTTGGGGCTGTGCTTGCTGGGATGTCTGCGGGGGCTGTTGCTGGGGGTGGTGGTGAGCAGCCTGAGGGGCAGGACTTGCTTGGGCTTGAAGCAGATGCTGAATCAGGAACTCATCGTCATCATCCACCTCATCCTGGGATCTTTGAGAGCCCACTCCTAACAATGAGGTATCTGCCTTAGTTTTAGAGGAGGTGGAATGATATGACTGGGGCTGGGAGGGGGGGCCTCTGGTGTCCGGGAAGCCCTGTGGGGAGGACAGAAAAGTGGGCGAGAGAACCGAAGAGATGTATTTGTTTGAGCCAGCACCTCCAGGAGACTGAGTGGGGCAGTTAGGCACTGGGGAGTGCAACCCTGGACGGATGATCCCCGAGTTACCTGACGGGGAGGGGCTAGAGTCTGGGATATGATACGAGCCTCCACCACTTCCTCCTCCACCTCTCTCATTGGTCATACCATTTCCAGCTCCTCCTCCTGACCCAGAGTTCCCACTCCCTGTGCCACTGCTGCTTCCTGCCCCTGATCCTCCACTACCCGATGAGCCGCTGGACCTTAAAAGGGCGGGCGAGTGACCTGGGGCTCCGTAGCCTAACGATGGGCTACCGGCTCCACCCAGAGAAGATGGTAGTGATCCATAAGCGGAATCGGCCCCATATAAATCAGTGGAATAGGACTGGCTTCGCCCACCTAAACTCCCATAGCCCTTCCCACCAGTACCAGAGCTCAGGTCTTGGGCCTGTGGCGAACTGAATCCCCCATAGGACTGAGCCAGGTGGGACGTCGGGGGCTGGTTGGGGGAATACGACTGTGTCTGTTGCTGTGGTGGTGTCTGCCCAGTAAGAGCAGAGGTGGGGGTCTTTACTGGTGGCACAGGAGAGCCGTAGCCTGACAGGCAGGATTTGGGGAGAGACTGAGGGGCTGTGGTGGATGTGGCAGGGGGCTGTGGCTGCTGCGGGGCAGGGGGAGGCGGAGCCGGTTGTGGGGGGGGCTGTTGCCTAGAAGGAGCTGCACTGGAGCTGGAGGTGGGGATCGAATTGGACGGATGAGCCCCTGAAGTGGCAGAAGAAGAGGACGAAGAAGAGGAGGTCGAAGAAGCGGAAGGGGGGGTGTGAGGGGTCCTTGAGGAGGATGCAGAGCTGCCAGAAGAATAGCCACTACTAGAGCTGCTTTTGGCACCTTTTCCGGCTGATGAAGAGGACGAGGATGACGATGAGGAATAGGGAGGCTGAATGATTGGCCGATACTGCTCAGTGCGAGAGCTGGTCTTGTGGTCAGATGAGGGGCTCTGGTCACCCAACGGGCTACATGAAAGGCCAGCATGCCTGTGGTGGGTGGCTATCTGTTGGTACCCCACCCCTCCACAGCTGAGGTAGTGCTGAAGGGAGTGGGCAGCTGAGGATGAGAGCTGCGATTGAGCTGGCGTCGGCCGCTGGTAGTGCTTGATAACGCTGTCCTGCCGAGGCACGGCCCTCTCCTGAGCCGAGTTGGACTGCGCCTGGGACTGAGGCTGGGGCTGCGCAGAGGAAAAGACTGATGGATTATACAGCTGGGAGGACTGATCCTGTAACTGTGATGACAGCAGATTGAACTGATGGGACTGCAGGTGCCTGGCAGAGGACGCCTGGGCTGAGCTGGCACCTGTGGGATCCTGGCTGCCCCTGTATGCAGCTGCAGCAGCACCCTGTGAGGACAGGAGTCTATCAAAACCCAGGCTGGACTGGGATGGGGCTTTGATGTGTATTAGGGGATCATGTGGGGAGAGGAGACCGTTGGATGTAGGACTAAATGTGGGTGTGTCCTGGAGGGAAAGGGAGGCGGCAGGGAAAGAGCGGCTGGAGAAGGATGCTGGATGCTGATATGCTGATAGAGCTGAAGAGGAAGGGAAGGAACCAGAGCCAGGAAGGGCTCCAGAGATGAAAAGTTCAGGAGGAGCAGGCGTGTGCATCGCTGTTAGGAAAAGGAAGACATTGGAAAATTGCTTAGTAACCACCAACCTATCAATCAAACCTTAGAAATGAATCACAAATAAAGAAAAGATTGTTGTATGAGATGTAAGAGAAAAAAAACGACTGTAAAACGCTTCATAAGACAAAAGGATCGGCACAAATGCACTGATGGAATAACGCTGTAGCTCGACATCGGGAGGCTTTTCAAATGTCATATTGACATTGGAACTGTTTGAATGTCAACACATCAGGGAAGATCTAACACTGCCCCACCTGTCTGCCATGATGGCGTGCGGAACTGGGAGAGAAGGGAGGAGGCAGAGGGTGGAGGCTGGGGACCCCGGGACTCCAGAGCTGAGATCAGATTCATCACCGAGGCATCGGGGGCAGAGGGGCTGGCATGGTGCAGACCAGTGTCAAAAAGCCCAGACAAACCTTCAGGGAGGAAAAAACAGAACCACAAAAAATTAAATGCATATTCAAGGCTACATAAACAATTGTGAAAAGTTTAGAAGCAACAACTGGGGAAATGGGAGTCATTCTCCTCCTAAAATGGAACATATGAGGCAGGTTAAATATGTAAAGGAATCACTGTTGGTGGAATCAACCTATAAGAGTGGCAAAATGCTTTAAGAACACATAGTGACTTTGTCATCCGGGGCTTTGACTCAGTTGAGCTGTAACGTGCACATTTTTCAGTGACAATATCTAACAGGGCCTGCACGGACAGACACAATAATTCATTACCAGGGCCCCTTATGGTGGTGACATGGAAGGTATGACATTTATCTTACCCAAACTCCGTCCAGCTGCTCCCCAAGCCCCGCCTTGGCCAGAGCTCCCAGGGTGGTGATTGGTGGCATAGCCCTGCAGAGGGTGTGGGGTGGCGTAGGCTTGTCTGTGAAGGAGCTCAGACTCAGGGTGGGATGATCTGGAACTCCCATATACAAGACTAGGAAGATAGGGTGGAGGGAGGGTTGTGGAAGTGTCATTAATCTCAGGAGTATTATTTACATAAATCTAATCTGTTCCCAAAAATGTGACCCATGAGAATAGTTTAAGAGCCAATTAATTTCACAACACACACAATCACATGTAGAAGTAAATGCCACTTCAACATAAATAATACACACAATTTCAAGTCAAATTAGTTTGCTGTATATATTCAACTCGAGACTTTTAAGCAAGTGAAAACCAAAAACCCCTATTCATGATTGAAGATGTACACAATTAGAACCTCAGTCATTACGTCAAAAGCTTGTTGGAGACGTTGCATCTATCAAACAGGCATCAGCAGGCAAAAAATAAAAGGGATGCTTCATTTGCAATCATCATAATTAAGTCACGGGGCCACACCATTATGTGATGCGAAAATATGCCGACTAAATTCTGATTTTCCCCACCTGAAAAGATTCCCCAGCTGTGTATGTGTGATTTACAGAGGACAGCTCAAATGCGTGGCTACCTGGGCAGATAACATGCTAGCATTCGTGCTGCTGGTGGCACCGTTTAGCAGCAGCGCACAGCGGCTACGGTGAAAATGCAGACACCAGGCCCCAACCCCAAGGCCAACGCCGAGTAGAAAGAAAGCGCAGGGCATGAACACGCAGAATTGGGCCGAGTGAAAAATATTAGCCCCTCGGTTCAAACCCAAAACAGAGGGGTTGAACAGGTCTGTGACCACTGATTGTTACGGTGATGAGGCTAACGACTGGACGGTGCATGTCGACGCAAATGTATGCTAAGCTGCACGCAGGCACCAGCGACTATCCGGGGATTATTTACATTAATTACGTTTAATAAAAGTCGCTGGTTGGCTTTTGGGTGAGCCCACACAGGTAAACGTTGGGCTGAGCAAGGCAGCCGCGGCTCCGGAGGGAGTAATGATGTTTGAGTGCACAGGCCTTAATTGACTTCCCTGCAACACAACGCTAGCTCGCAGGCTAGCAGAGTCGAGCTAAAAGACAGAGCTGCTTCGCACTGCCCGAGCACTTTTCGTCCTCATTCCATGCAAATGCGCCGCCTTTTGCCGTTTTTGTGTTGGGGTCGAACTACGCACTGCAATTTGAACGCAAAAAAATAAAGATTATGGCTCAGCTGTATTATGCAAATTGACACAAAATCAACCAAAACCATTCAAACCCCATCAGCAATGCTCTGGAAAACGATTGAGGGGGGGGGGGGGAAAAAAAAAAAAAATGCACACAAGAGACTCAATTCTAACAGTACAGCATCGGTCCACATTAAAGATGCCTTTCTTTTTGTTTGCTTCATGGCATGCCATTAACAAAAAGGGGTTTAATTAAAGGCATCCTCTCGGTTAATATGCATCAGTTCATCTTGTTGATGTCTGTCAGGGGGGCTGCTGTGAGGGCTTTGCTGCGTCTGCACTCTTCGCAGTTCCTATCAATCCTATGAATTTATCTATCAGGGTTTGTGTCCAGGCCTGCACACAGGGAACAATAATTCCAATGGACACTCCAGACATCCCCCACCTCCACCCCGCCAGGTCCACCTAAAACCCATGTCTGTCAATCACATTCAATTCATTTCCCCAACCTTTCCTTTCTCCACCCCGCCCACCCCCACGACACACTCATCCATTCCTGTTTATAATATTATTACTATGCAACTGTTCGGGTGACAATGCACCGCACATAATGGTAAGGCATGGAGGTCCATTAGAAGCCGATGGTTTCAATTTGTTTACACGGGTCACGCCGTGCCCTGCAAAGTGCCACTGATGCATGCACATTGTCTGAATCCGATGCATACCTTGCTTTTCTGTCGTAACTCCATCCTGCTCCTGCGCCCAAATCACCGAATCCTGTTCCCGGGTAATTTCTATCCATTTATGTGCTGAACAGTGCGTGCGATGAGGATGAAAGCAACGAGAACGTCGCAGGGCACAATACGGAAAAAAAAATCCAGACTCTCCCTTCTCGTTTTCAGGCTATTTTCCCCGGTTTCATAAGCAAGTCCTCAGGAGTGGAAAACAGCATATTGAAAGAGAAATGGTGGGGAGGAGGAGAAAGCTGGATGAAAAAAAGAGGGGGGTCTACGGGGTTATAATCCAACCACCACCAAAAAAAGCCAGTCTTTCTCCTTTTCCTGCGCCTTTCACGTTTATCATTTCCTCGAATGCAGATTCGGTCTAAAACCAGTCCCGGTCATGATGAATATGCCGCGGATTCGGTCGGTGATGGGCGAATTGCTTTTAAACATTTGACTTGAATGCGTCCTTTTTCACCGTCTCTCCTCCCCTTTCTTTAGGCTAGTTTCTGCTATGCTGCTAGCTCTAGAAAAGATGGCAATCGACGGGCCACGTTGGTAGCAATCATTCCCCATGGGCGACCAAAGAAATCCCCAATTTGAAAATCTCTTTTTTTTCTTTACATGCAAATCGTTCCCACCCCCCTTTCGGAGCAAAGCCGTGAGGCTAGCAGCAGATGCTAGCTGTCAGTAACGACGCATCAAAATAAAACTGGGCTGCTTTTATTTCCCCAAATACGCGCTCCCCTTTTCTCCCTTTCACGACACCCGCGTAAAAGCGACGACAAGGTTGCTCTCACTGAAGAGAACCCTGCCCAAAATACGTAGGGCAGATAACAAAAAAAAAAACGAACGAGGAAACGTAAAGAAAGCAGGCCGCGTTTTAATATTTTTTACTCATTTTCCTCCGGAGACGCCATTTTTGAAGGCGGCTAGCCGCTGTCCGTCCTCCCTCTCTCCCCCTCTGTGTCTCACCGCCGAGACTCACTCAGTGTCTGCTGTGACCTCCATTCACCGGGGATCAGTCTGCCAACCAGCTCTGCTTGCTTTTCTTGCTTTTCATCCCTTTGATAGGATAACTATTAATCTTCAAAAAAAAAAAGAGCCACCTGTTCGTCCTGTACACAGCGATCTGCTGAGACGCATTCGAGCACACATGAAAAAAAAAAAAAAATCAAGTAATAACCAGATTTATTCGCCCGCAGGATTCCGTTGACAAATTCATATGCCGAATGAGCAGATTGCAAGGGAGGAAATATTTTTTTCCTGCTTCTATTTAGATGCTTAATTTATTCATGTGACTGTAGCCTACTTGTAAGCACGTACCCTGTGTAAGCATCATGCATTCTACTGGCTGTGTTCACCACACACACACACACAGGGCATGGGCCTGTGCCACAGGGTGTTAGGGGACACTTGGTATTATCCCAACAATGCATACACAGAACAATCCAATATGATAAATGAGGAGAAATGTAATTAGCGCAAAGAAATAAAACGTCAGCAGCGAGATCTAGATCTAATGCCAACAACCACAAAGAGATTGAAAACCGACCACCGTGAGACAATAGCAACAAAGAAGAGGTGCTGAGACTGACAAAGAATAGGATGGGAAATACTAATAATGTACAAAAACATTCAATGAAACAAAATCTGACTAATTTAACCAACACCAAATGCAGTTACATAAAAAGAAATGTCAGACAAAATGAGCAGTAATGCAAAACAGCCAAAGCTGAGCCACAAACCCCAATAAGGAAATGATAATACATTTGAAAAATAATATTACACTTGGAATTAAAGAATAATAATAGCAGAATGATACAAAAAAATCAGAAATAAAGGGGGGTAAATATGCTAAATGACATTGTGTTGACACATCTTGTGCTATCTGCTTATTTTGTGTTATTTTTAAATGTGTTACAGTCTGAAAATTCTTGTCTTAAGACTGAAAAGCGGACTGGTTTTTCACACATCTGTGCCCACGCAGGAGGCCGTCGTTTCAGACTGCTGCCCGGTTTCCCCTGAATTGTTTCCTGTCTTAATGTAAATCTCATTATTTGGATAACCTGTCTAGAGGATTCAACTTGTGCATAATTGTTTACACCAGCAGATGGCACACTGGGTTTTACAGAAATGATAAATTAGGAGGGACCTTTGAGTAAAGAGGTGCTTTTCTCTTGATTGTGTTTTTCTGAGACACTGACTGTCATATTAGCTTCTCATTGTCTCCAGCGGTATACAAAATCCAACACATATGGGCTGAAGTGTCACATATGGGCTGAAGTGTCACATATGGGCTGAATGAGCTTCCCCATTATTCAACCAGTGCTGAAAATGTGGTTCTTTTGACACACACACACACACACGCGCACACACACACACACACACACACACACACAAACACACATATATATATATGCAATTGACAGGGAAATTGGAATTTAATAATTCCAATGTAATTTTGGAATATCATATATTGTTTATTCTTCCAATTAAGGTGAAATTTTAAATTAAATACTTATGATTAAAATGTTTTGACAATTATAAAAGTACAATTTGAAAAAAAAGATACGGCAACTGATCTGACTGGTGCCCTTTTTAATTATTTAAAACAAAATCTCAGGCCCTAGTAGAACTCAGAATGACCCTGAATGTGTACTGGTCTATATATGGTTGGTTTCATGCCTCAAAATTCTATGTTATTTAATTGTAGTTTGACACCCCCTAACACACACACACACACACACACACACACTCCCCCTTGTATTGGTTAAACAAATACTGCAAATCTCAGCTCAACCCCTTAAGCCAACAAAACAGTTTGGAACAAAGTGGGTAGTGCAGGAGAAGCCCTCTGCCTGCTCCCCTGTAGTGAGCATTTAAAGTGCTTTAGGAAACCTTTGTAATGCTTAATTGTTGACTCAAAAGGTCATCTATGTGCATACTCATTAGTGCAACAATAAAACAAAAGACAGGAATTAAGGGATTTTAAAAAGATGGAGTTGGTTGGTATACATAAATGGGGTATGTGAAAGTAGAGAGGGCAACAGAACTTACTTGAAGTTGGTCATAAAAATAGAAAAAACAAATCCAAACTCTAATTTGCACATTTTTAGTATCGAATTAGCTTTGCGTAATTAAATGTACAGTATGTCATCCCAACACCCTTTGATCACAGTGCAGAGAAGCTCCAAAAGTTCAATTAAAGCATTAGCTCTAATCCAGCTGGAAGCTTTTTCAATCAATACAATTTTTTAGAGTTTCTTTTATGTTATGGCAATTAAGTGGAAAAAATATGAAGTCACTTTTTCACTGCCTTCTTGACTTTTCCATGTCCCAGCCTTATCATGCATGGCCCCTGTCATTCCTGCTCCCCCCCCCCCCCCCCCGCCCGCCGCTGTTTCCTTCCATCTCCATAGTCACACTTGAGTGCAGCTCTTGCAGAAGCTCACCTCCAGCTCTCTTCTGTCAAAATGCCAGACTCTGACGAAGCCGTTCCAGCACCATGCCAGGTTATCAAGGAGGACGCTGATAAGTGGTGAGTCCTAAAGGAATGACGTGCAGGTGGCAAATAGGAATCTGACAAATTTACAGACGATTATAAATTATGAAATTTCTTCAGTTTTTATTATCTTTTGTGTCATAAACTTTGTTAAACAGCCTTCACATTCTTGCTGTGTGAGGTTTACATGTGTCATTAACTAAGAAGAGCTTAGGCTGGAAACTTGTCAACAGCGAACAGTAAATTCACTTGCCGTCATTTGTACGTGTAATGACATTTACAGTACGGGAACCTTATAGTTGTGCACATGTCTTAGGAACATAAATAGATCTGAGGTTCATGAATAGGCTTCCACGTGAGACCGATACATACCAAGCTGGTTCGTGTTACGTGCATTCAAGAAGCAACAAATATTTGGAGTATGTCCACGTGCGCTGGTGATTAATGTCAGCAGAGCTCAGAGCTGCCGTGCAGATTACTCACTCATGCTCTCATGCTTTACTAACTGCAGATAAAAGCACCATGGTCTGAGCTAAAATACGTTCCTATCAGGCGGAAATAATCCCTTGATACTCATGTAGACGTTATTCAGGGATTTTCTTTGTGCCCATAGTTGCATATCTCCTTTTTTACGTGACTTCTGGAACTTCTTATGTTAGGGACTAATTGAAAGACTGCTTTTTGAAAATCTGAATTTCTGTTTCAGTGTCAAAATGAATGGAGCAGAGCCCTGTAAAGATCTGATGGATGCTTTCCAGGCCTGTGTAAAAACTCTATCTGAAGGGTCGTAATTGATAATGAAAAACAAGGTTGAAGACGTAAGTTCATACTTTTTACCGTTAGCACTAATTACTATTTTTCCATTTTTTCAGAGATGACTTTGCTTTTTATTTAGCCAGACGATGCCAAGCTACCTCCTGAAAATCTTGAGCTTTTTTCTTGTTTTATTCTTTTACTCACAGCTTCAACTCAAGAGCCCTTTATTTCCTGTCCCTTTTCCTGCTGACCGAGCCAAACCAAACTGAACCACCTGAAAAATGGAGAGGGGAAATGATGCTGCACTTCTGATGCTATAGTTTATGTTTGTGTTTGTAAATATCATGCTGTCAGTCATGTTGCAATTATGCATAGTAAAATAAAACTAATCCATGTTATTATAAAAGCAACAAAATAATAATTCTTCAAACATAAAGGTTGTACTTGTCTTTGGCAATCAGTGATGTTATGAAAAACTTATTTAATAATTTTTTAGCAAACTGCATACATGCCAGTTATTAGTTGAAGCCTCTCAATAGGTTTAGAATAGGTTTCTACATGTACTAGATACGGCTAATAGAATTAAGAAGATCTTGATAATCTCGGCCTAATCCTCACATTAAAGCCAGCACGAAGAAGTTTAATGTTAGTTTTTACGGTCGGAGCTTCCACATTCATATAGGTATAAGGATTATCAAATGTACAGATTATACTTGGCAGAGGACCTTAAAGCAAAGAAAGAGGAAGGAATAAAGGAGAAAGGAGAATTAAATGACTGCTGGGAGCTCTAGGACGAGAACTGACCCAGAGGGGAATACT